TGAAGCACTTCGGTGAATTCTTCTCGACTTTTCTGTCAGAGTTACAATGTTTCAGCCGATGTGCTTTCTGGCCTTTTTAAAGTCTGTCTTGTAATATTCCCGAAATTTCGAACCTAACCCTTTATTCAATTCACAGGGTTTGATTGTTCCGCTGTCCATACTAAGAGAGATAACTCCTGTCTGTTAATGCTTCCCTGTCCTTATGATGTCCCTTGTCTCTTAGGCTGAAGATTGGGTTCAATTCGGTTATAGGCAATTCAAGTGACTATAACTAAATTAAACCCATGATCATTGTTTGCTTGGTCAAGTAACCTATAAAACGATTCGATTGTAGAAACTTAGAGCGTTAGACTAAATATTATTTGTCTGCTTTTTAATTCAACAAAAGTATATGACTTTTACATTATCTGTAGTGGAATTAGGCGGTGGAAGTTTTTAGCCTTACGCCTAAAATGTTCTTTCTTAAAGAATTAATATAGTTCTCATTTCTATACTAGACCTACTGATGAAGTTATGAGAACCATGTGGAGTCTATAGGAATTAAATCCTATATATATTTTTCAACCCATAAAATCCCATCAGAAGGTTTGTTTGATAAACAATCATTACAAGGGCGAATACTGCCAAAATACTTGCGGACGTAGTTGTAAACCTACCACGTGTTATTTTTGGACCACTTAGAAAATAACAATAATAACTCCTTTCACCACTCCTGCTTATTTACGAAAAAGATTTTTGCGTGCCAGTGGGAAATTATTTTCTAAACAATTCACAAAAGTTCACATCTCTGTGTGAAATTAGATTTCAGATCCCCCTCATGGATATAAAAATAGAAGCATACTACTTTTCAGAGTTCAAAACAATTTCGGAGGCTTGTTTGATCTACACGTGCATACATACGCACCCATCCACATGCACACAGTGGAAGAGATGAGCCAACAGCCGCTGACTAACGTTTTGTCCACGCACTGATAGGGACATTAAGCTGACCATCATAAAGTATGTCTTGCCCACATTTCATATCGCTCTACGAACACATAATTACTTGATAAAATAAATTCCACTGCAAGGAAAATTGAACATTTTATTGTTATTGTAGTGGATTCTCCCATCGTATTCGACGTATGAGGGTGAAGCAGCTCAGTTCCTAGGAACCGACAGCCCAGATACCAGCACATATGATTTGATTATAGTGGTGAAGGCTTTGTGCAGAACCAATCACACTTTTTGAAGGGCTGAATACAGTGCCACAAGGTCCCCAAACAACCCTCCGCGGGTTTTGAATTCAGAGTTGTCCTTCTCCTAGTCCAGTTGCCATCTAAAGTTATAGAACCCAATCTGTCCTGCTATTTACCCATAGCTGGGAAGGAGAAGAAGAGGATTAATACCTTTCCCAAGGGGATTAGTACATAAGTAAATGTAATGGATTCAACTGGAATTCGGTTATCTACTACTCTATTGTACCTCCTTTATTATTGTATATTTCTGAAAAGAATATATAAATGTTATTTCAACTGATGCTCTGCTTCTACTTTTCGTTCAGAGAATAACCTTTTTTTATGTTTAATTTAAAAAATGTGTTGTTAAATGTTTGGAATCCCGACACTGATAAAAACAAAAACTTGGGTAGACAGCCCCCAACAAGTATTATCTTTCAATGTTATTCCTCGTCTAATATTTTGTCTCTATTCTTCAGGGTTTAGTGTCCCTCTTTTTTCTTTCTCATATGATCAGCGATTTCTGATTTCATTGTTTCCCACCAGATTACTGCACTCCGCGGTTCCCGCAACTGGTTTCGCTTTTGCATTCCTTGTTACAGCTGTGTAGAATGGAATATACACAATTTTCGGTAATGTTCTCCTCTGAGGAAGACTTGACTCAGGAAGATTACTTTTGAGTGTTGTTCTGATGTTGTATGGATCATAGATTTGAATCTATTTTAATATACATTTTTGCTGATATCTGAACCACAAAATGATGCTAGTATGAATACGGTTAGGAAAATGAAGTAGATTGGTTGCGTGTTTGAAAAACAACGCACCCTTATTCGGCGGGGGGGGGGTGATTAAGCTAACGAATACAACCAGTAGTGAAATCTCGACTAAAAAAAGTATGTCCCCGAAAATATAAATATTGGAGCTATGAATACTGTATTAGGGTTCAGATAAATGTACCCAAATATGATTTTAAACCAGATAGGCCAACCCTGAGTAGCTTACCAGTCGTATTGGAGTCAGACAGTTCGCTACCAAGTTCGCGACAGACAAAACCTCTATCTTCGGGAAGAGGGTGACTCAGTCGAGCTCTGTCTTCGGATAGAGAATTGGCTGCGAAAAACAGACAAGTAATGTACCCGAGGCCGCTTTCGCAGACGCTGGGTAAATTTTGACCAATGGACCGGGTGGATACGCTCGGATTTCCTACGTTAATCCCGACCTTGTGTCACAATTCATCTCAGTGGGAGTGGGTGGGGTGAGTAGGTACCCGTCATATTGGAATCAGTCTTCATGTTAACTAAACAGGCGTTACGGCAATAGCCTAAGCATTATGTATAGAGAATACTTAACAAAATACTTTATACCAAGTACGAGTGTGTGTTATAACAATAATCTTACAATAAGGAGTTATAATAGTTTGCGATGAGGATACTCGAACGCAAACGCGGGATAAAATTGCAAGCGCCTGTATTCAAGCTGGACTTAGTTTCTGTCTTTATCCCCAATAATTGATAATCAATATCCTCAATAATCAATAAAAAATCCAGGAATACACCTTTACACTGTAAAACATATCCAGGTTTCGATATTCAATATTCGCAGTAATCAATGTTCAATAAAGATTTCATGAATAGAGTTTTACACTTTAAAACCCAAGTGCCAGCTGTGGGAACGACCAACCTAAGAATAAAACTACAGAAATTAAAAAGACAATAGTTCCTAAACTTTAATACGACAGACTTTTGAATGATCCAAATTACAAAATTATGTATTACAAAGTGTTATATGCTGACAGCGTTAAAAGCAAGTACAATAGAATGAGACTGGAAATTCAAAGTGGAACACATTAATAGAAGCTTTCGTGATATTGGCAAACGTGATTATCAGAGGAAAACGAGACATGAAAAAAAAAAAAAAAAAAGAGTGGATGATATGAAATTCTCGAGATGATGAAAAAAGACAACTATATCAGGGAATTGCACAGAATATAGAATATTAAACTCAGAAATTAGAAAAAATAAAGACAGGTAAAACAGCATTGACTCAACTAAAAGTGTGTATAATTAGGGAAAAACGAGTATCAAGACGATGAATAAAAGCAAAATAGGAAATGTTAATAAATAATAGAGAAAGAAAAATAATTCAATGTTGTAAAGAATATGTTGGAGAATATTTGCACAATGAAAGAGGGAAACCCGCAGTACATAAAAATATGGAAGAACCTGAAATATTAAAGTTTGATGTGAGATCGGCACTGGCTAAGATGAAGAGGAAGAAAACAACAGAACCAGATGGAATATGTAATAGAGATACTTGCAGCCTTAGACGATTTCGGCATTGACAAGATTACGGAAATAATAAGCAAAATATACGACAGTGGCGACATACCGGAAGACATTTTTAGTAGATCTATTTTGATAGCGCTGCTTAAAAGGCCAGGTACAAACGAACTCGATCTCCATCAGTGACAATCAACCTAATTAGCCTTTTATTGCGGAAAAGTTTCGTTTGGTATAGTAAGCAAATAAAAAAGATTATTCTCCACATTAATTTTATTTGGTAAGTGAATGAAAAGGTGGGAAAACATCTTAATGACGCGTTTCGTTACGAGAAAGGACTTCTTCAGACTAATAACAGTTTCATTGATGGAATCAATCTTTTTTATATCTAGATAATATATATTTTTATATAAGGGGCAACATAAGAGGTCACAGGTCAAGGGAGTAATATAACAAACACCGGTTACACTTTACATCGAAACGTTAGATACCAAGACGTTCAGTGTGTAAATTTAAATTTTAACATCCGATGTATTTAGATGTTAACATTAAGTTTATTGAACAAAATAATTTGTCTTTTTGTTCCAGTATCTTCTGCCATTTATTTACGTCGTTCGTACTGTTGTCCTTGCTACATATGGCCCAGTGGATAAAAGCGTTGATAAATGTGACTTACCCCAATGATGATTGGCAACGTAAAAAAACGTTAAAAACCGTCCCTTATGTCATAACCTGACTCAGTGGTGGGTAGGGTAAGTTAAATCTCGGACATTATATTTTAAGTAAAAAGTAAGCATTATCTTTACAAAATCCAGTTAATTAATCTTTAAATTCATTTACTGGCTTCGTAATACGCACAACGTCCTATCAGCCTTATTCTGTGTATATAATACTGACTTTCACTAATCGTTACGGTCTATGTTTTTCATTTGTTTTCTACAGAACTCTATTCAACTTAAACAATTGTATTTCCTTTCCTGGTATGTATTCTTATACGCCAAGAATAAATTTTGGTATATTTTATTTGAATTCCTCGTTTTGTGTTGTCCTTGCCTTCAATCTGTCATTGAGTTTCATGTTTAAATTATTAGCGGGCACGTTTGATTAAAATATCACAGGCCCGTGTTTCCGCTACAAGGTTTGGTGACCCCGACATAATCTGACTTGGTTAGGCAGGATGGCAACTAACGAATCAAACGAGACTTCTATCAGTTTGACAATTACTATGATACCGATCACCCTTAGTATTAAGAATTGGTTCTTGCAATTTTATGTGATTTTTGTTTTCGTACGAAAGATTACGTCCCAGACGTCCAAATTTGCACATCTAATGCTGGTATTATCTCCTATCGTCGATGAGGTAGCAAACATTTTGGAGGCTGCCCCAGAGCACGAGCCTTCTTCTAGCCTTAGGCAATTGTCAAACGTACTGGCCTCTCTGATTCGTGAGCTCTTTAATAATGTCACTAGAGATGATCGGACACCATCTTAACTTTTACGATACATGCGAAGTCGTCTCGGGAAGCATATTATAGCCGAATCAATTCTTCGGGATCTGCCTCATTCATGCTCCGATGTCCGAAAACACGCAGCTGACGATTCGGCCGACCGTATATTTACACAAATCAACCACAAAGTAAATCCGACCTTTGAAGCCGAGGAAAAATCAAGACAACTGCTGGAGAAGGCAGTAGCCGACATACAAGATCAGGTAAGAGAATTTATCTTTGTAGCGACCAGCGATCGTCCAGCAGCGATCAACTTCCCAGTCCGACCGTCGACACGATCGGAACGCCCGCACATCAACGTCCCGTTGTCGACACGACCAGTCCAACCATCGACACGACTAGGACAAACACACCTCTACTTCCCGTCATTGACACGTCCAGTCCGACCACCCTTCAATTACCAGACGATACGGCCACTCAGGACTGCATTATAAATAAACTTGGTATTAATCTTAATATTTAAGATTCTTAAATATTCTCATTCTGTTGTCCATTTTTTTTTTGTTTCAGCTGTCAGATTTCACGTCTTTAATTTAAAAATGTTAGTGAGCCTCTTGTGACCCGATACTGATTTGGAGCGCTCGACCATTTCGCATCCCCCAGGGGCTCCACTGCATCTCTACGCCGTAGGTCTAGAGCAAATCTCCTTTTTGCCCGACATAATTCAGATCGACGACGTCCTTTTAGCCAGGATTGGCAAGTGAATTCCTGTATAAGCCGGTACGACCTTACCTCCGACTCAGGGCCAAACCAAACACTAAGAAAGCGTTCGTCGAGATGTTGCGTGATGTCATCATCAGCCCTTCAGATAGACGTACGTCTCACTACTTCACTTAGTGCCTAAACCAGGTGTCTCGGGTGGACTACAGGAAGTCATATCCTCAACTATTCAGACATATTCAGTCTTCTCAGCATCTTTCTGTAGAATCATATTTCTGCTGCCCCGTTTTTTTTGTTTTTTTTTGTTTTCATCTGCGAGTAGGTTGTGCAGCATTCAGTGCAATAGGAGGACCGACATTAGCAGTTCAGCACTTTTTTCTTTGTTTCTAACAAAATTTCATACAACCTTGATGAGTAAAAAAATGTTTTTTTGTTCGAAAAAAAAAATTACCATGTGCCACATTCTGTTATTGTCAGGTGGCAGATAAAGTACCTAAAAATTAAAAAACCAATGTAACAACGACGATAATACGAAGTAGCTAAAAAAGTAAAAAAAAAAAAAAAAAACAGTTGCAGTACATCTGAAAAATTACTTTTTAGTTAGTTTTAAAACCTCATAGCTGCGTCTTGTCGTTAGCTTATATAAAAATTACTAACGATTCTACTGGATCGTACCAGGACTTTGGCAATTTAATAATCTCAAATTCATTTAAGAAAAAAAAATCAAAATAATTTGTGTTGTAATCTTCATTTTAAAAAAATTGAAAACAAGAGTGAAAAAAAATGACAATAATTTCTTATACTTAAAATAAAATTAATTACTTTGAGACAAATTTTTATTCATCTACTATTAAAAAAGAATTTGAAATTCTAATTAAATCAATCAGGATCGAACTCGCGACTGATTGTGTCTTTGGTTGTTTTTCTTTTACTTCACACCGGAGAGCGACACACGTCAGCCATGTGCCAAATAAACAAGGCGGAGTAATGTCTATTTCTTGTGCCTCTCCCAACAGATCTTTAGTTAGTTGGGGCGGGGCCAGTTTTCAACGTTAATTGTCATTTTAGCACCAGGCTACTGTGAGGACAAATACTGGCCACACAGTCAACTACGATCGTCTCCTGTTGTTCTGAGTGTGTTGTGCTTCTTCGACAACTTCAGTTGAATCAGTGACGAGTAAATAAATCATTTACCAAAACAATGACATCTACAGTAACTTCCCCGACAGCATCAGGCGAATCACCCCAAGTTTTATTTAATCGTCTATTCGCCCGGGCCACTGCTTTAGGGCTCGAAGGGCATCAGTTAGCCACCTTAACATGTTTTAATGATCTCCAGGACTGTAAAAACCACAAAGAAGATGAGGACGTTATAGCTCAGGGGGGCTTGATTTGGTCTCAACGTACGAAATGCTTCTTTTATGGGTTGATAGCTTTATTTGCATTAATTTTTTGTGTCTTCTTCTTGAATGTACCAGTCACTGGTGAACAAGTGACCGCTTTTTGGTATGAATGGAATGATTATGACATTTATAAGGAACCCTGCTTATTGAATAATATCGAAGGGTTGTCGTCGCTGTTTAGACCACCAGTGAATTGTAGATTTTGTATTAATCTCACAAGCATAGATCGGGTTTCAAACCTAACACCACACATATTCGAGGACCTCTATGCTTACTCAGGTCGACCGGTGGTTGTAGTGGACGGGGCTAAAAACTGGACGGCACCGAAAACCTTCTCGTTTGAGTTCTTCAAAGGTATTTATAGCGAGAATAGTCCGGCCCTGGAGAGCAAGGGCTATAATTGCCAATTTTTCCCTTACCAAACAGAGTTCGCCAATTTAGCCGAAGTTTTCCAGATGGAGCCAGAAAGGATAAAAAATACTGACCACTCAAAACCTTGGTATATCGGATGGTAAGTAGAAACTGATTGAAACAGAAATCTTTTCCTTTTCGATTTTTCTAGCTTTATAAAAACAAATAAACATTCAATTAATTCAAAAAATGATCATATTTTTACCCCTCCCTTTTTCCTGTACAAATTGAAATTCAAGGCCTGTTTCTTCTGTACCCCCAAGGTTTACCGTTTCGAGGTCAGTTGTTTTCAGTACGTGACAAAATCGAATTTCATTTTGTTTTTGTTTTTTATGCTTTTTTTTAAAATCTCATTTAAAACAGGTTTCTTTTTTGCTCAGTATTTATTTAGCCACTGACAAGTTTTCATACATTTTTACTTTAACTTTACTTTTTAAAAATATTCATATTATTCCCCCACCAAAAAAAAAAAAAAAAAGTTTTCAGAATATTAATAAATAACAACATTTTCTTTTTCATATTTTTTTTCTCGAACAAAAAACTTGAATTCATTTTGTTTGATTTTTGTTTACACTACAGTCTGAGTTTATTCCGGAAAGAAAAACAACGATGACTAATTATCAAACTCAAAAGTTTTCAATAAATAAATTATCCTTTTTTAATTTTAAAATGTAATTGCTTAGCAATTCCGAAAACAACCTCTGCTGAGATTAACACAACACGCAATATAAAAAGATTTTTGTCAACAACTCAACATCTTTAATGAATATTTAAGTTTATGATGAAAAGATTTCATTACGTTTTTTAATATATTTTTTAATTTAAATTCTGAAATCTGCTGTTGATCAACTGAATTTTAGTTTTATGTCCTCGTCCTTTATCGCCTGAATTTTCAGTAGTGAGTAAAAAAAAAATGACAATTTCCTTTTATTTTTTTAGCTTGTCAACAGGTACACAGAAAAGTAAAAAAAACAAAACTTTCTGTAACTAACTGTAAATATTAAATTAAAAAAAAAACCAGAAAAAACACGGTATGTTTGTTGTCTTACATTTTGTAATGTTTATTATCCGAAGAAAATATGTTTAAAAGTTCTTTTAAAAAAAAGTTTATTTTGTTGTAAGTTGTCGCTGACGAGTTTAATTAGAAATGAATTGCCTTGGTTTCTGGTTTGTTTATGTTTCTAAGTAAAAATCATTTTCAATTTAACCTACCAATTATATTTATTTAAACACTTTAACATAATTTTTTTCATTTAACAGCATCTTTTAGAAAATATCTAAAAATATGGATTTATTGATGATATTAAAAAAAAAAGGTTTTATTCTTGTTTTTATTGCGTATTTCCTTTTTTTTTTTTTTTACTCGGAAGTTATTTCGTTTTTTTTTTTTTTTTTTTTTTAAACCTAATTGATAATCGAATATTTTATTTTTATTTATTTTTACTTTTTCTTACTATTTTTAAAAATGTCTCGTCTTAAGATGGTGAAATTAGAATATTTTTTTTTTTTAATTTTATTTTTAGCGATCTTTATTTTAACTTTGGGGGTCGTTTTTATGACGTGGTAGGTAACTGCATTTTCCCCCTCTTCTGTGGACCAATGTAACCTCAAACAAAATAAAAAAAAAAATAAAAAAAGCCATGATTTTTGTCTTGTAGCTATTATTTTGTTTTATATAGTATTTCTTAAAAAATCTATCACAAGCATTTATTTCCTCCGATTGACATAGACTGAGTTTTAAAATTAAAAAAAAAGTTTCTTAGAATTAGGCGACATGACGGTGTGCTGAAAAGTGGGTTGGGCCAAGAAGAACCTGTGAGTGTAGATACCTGACAAGTTCTAAAACCAAAATTATGAGAGATTGTGAAAGTGAAAGATTGCTAGGTTCGCCAATTCTTCTTTCGTTTAAAAAGTGACTAAAGTAAAAAATATTTGTTCTACTAAATGAAAAAAATGTTACTTGTACTGTTTGTTAGTTGATCATCGATTTTGACCTTTTTAACTGGTTTACTTTCAATGTGTGTGTGTGCAAATTGTAATCCAGCTTTATTGTCACATCTCTTGATGAACTCATATTATAAAAGTTTATTTTTATTAAGTTTGGGTCCGTTCATCATGCTATCATGCTGTTTCTTCAACGAAAAAGTGGGGGTATGTAGTATCTAAGTTATAATTCCAGTCGAATTTAGTTGCATTCACTTACGCGCAAATACCGTATATTTTTTTTTGAGGGGGGAAATATGAAAAACTATGAATCCCCCACCTCCATCTCCAGCTATGGGTTACTCACTGGAAAAATAATTGTTATCACTCAAAAATTGTTAATGCAATATTCACTCGCAAAAAAAAAAAAAATTCTTCTTCCAATCCAAATAAGATTTCGGCTTAAAATAAGCTATTAACTTAAGTTTAAGGGTTGATTAGCCATAAAAAACAAAAATCCAAATCCTCATTCCTTCAGTTAAAATCTCTCTAATCAGGTCATAATTGCTATTTGTCTAAAAGTAAAAATCTTGAGTAAATTGTTTTTAGTTTTTGTTATTGTTATTTCAAATTCATTAATTAAAAATATAGTTGGATTTTCAGAAAAGTTTATTTTTTGGGTTTTGCCTTTAACATTTCCAATCTTTTTGATGCATTTCAATTTATTATGAATCTGACAGACTAATGACACACACACGTGCAAGTGCTAAATTACTGGAGATGGGCTTTTTGTGCATTTGTTTGAAAACATTTTCATTCATAACGTACTTGCAATATTTTTCCACCAAATCGATCTGAAATAGAACCTCACATTGTGTATGTTCTTGTTAGCAATTTACAATAGACATCTGTTGTTTCATATCTTGTCTGTATGTGAATGTTTCATGATCTAGCCGGTTTAAAATCTCTTCTTACTCCCACTTTTTTTTGGGGGGGAGGGTGCATTCTGTTTTTCTCCACATCAATCGATCCTAAAAAGCTTGCTGATTGAATCACATCAAAATATCATTTTTTTTCCCCCATTCCTGTTTCGTTTTTAGTGCTAATGATTTTGTTTTCTCGATGAATTCTTAGTTTGAAAACAAATTGTTAGCATCCATCAGTTTTACTTATTAATAATAATTTTATTTCTTTTGTAAAATTAATTTGGTCGGAATTTGTCATGCAGCTGGTGGAAAATGGCAATTCCATATTGACAATATTTTTGACTCTGTTACTTTTTTAACCAATTTAAAAATAGAAAAGGAAACAGCAAGAAAAATGAAAATATTTATATATTTTTATTTTTTTTATTTTTTTTTATCCCAACCCTGGGTGTCTGTAACACTTTGACCTCTAAGGTACTGAAGAAGTGATGTTTATAAAAGACAGGCTTCTATGGTTGAATTACTTCAGTCAGGCAGTTTACAAATCCGTGTCTCAACCCCAAATATTAGGATCAAAAGTAAAAGTTGAAGTAATTTTTAAGCTATTCATAAAATAAAAACAAAAACAAAAAACAGGGTGTTCCTGTGTATGGAATTCATTTGATAAGTAGGTACTTAAAAACTGTTTTTGAACAGATTGCCGATTCTAAATTATGGTTCATTAAAAAAAAAAAATTAAAAACAATTTCTCTAACTTGTGATGCTTCTCAGGAGTTTCATGATTTTGACCTAAAAAAGAAAATTCATTTTCCTGGAAAATTATTTAAATATATTTATTTTTCAATTAATATTTGGGGAACTGATGTGTGATGGATAAAGATAAGTAATCATTTCAATATTTTCATTGTATATTTATTTGTTGCTTGGAATAATAAATACTCTTGGGAAAGGCATGAATGCATCTCTCTCCTCCACCTACGGGTTAAATAGTTGGTTGTATAAATGTGCTGCTATGTTGAAGTAGGGATTTCCTGTCAAACACATGACTATGTATTTTAGCATTGAATAATAGATATATTATGAAATGGATTGACAATTATTTTAATATATATATTGTTTCTATGTTACTTTTATAGATATAATTTATTTAAGCAAATACTCTGTTCTTTAATTAAATGTAATTAATACGGTTTAATTAAAAAACAGCATTTGCTTAAATAAATTATATCTATAGAAATAATGTATAAATGGAAAATATATATCATTTGGACTGAGAAGGCATATGGTGGTACACAAAGAGTGTTGTAGGGTACGCAAATCCAATCAACCAAATCAAGGAAATAGTTTCTGTCATATTTGCCTGATACGTATGAAATCAAATGCTAGTCTCAAAAGTCATGGAAACTGGATGGAAGTCACAAACTGAAAACATTACAATAATATGAAGGGGGGGCTATATATATTTATCGGTATAAGATGTAGCAATCATATATATATATATATATATAGAGAGAGAGAGAGAGCAACTTACAGTTTCATGTGGTAACACAATCTTCAGGTGTTGGTGAGGAACAATTTAAAGAATTGTGAGTTAACAGAAAATTGTGTAGCAACATGAATCTGCCAGTTGAAAAGATGGGGGTATGTGCATAAAGAGTCATAATTATTATTGCAGTCAGTTTATGCTCTGTATTGTGTACTTTTTATGTTTATGGTAAAATATAGAAGGTTCTATCATAAAATATACATGGTTCTATTATAAACCCCTACACTCACTCTTCTCACTCATACTCACCACCCTCTCTGTCTTCTTCTTCCTCTCAGTTGCTAGCTTTGTTGAGTAATACTGACCTTATGGGTCATCTAGTTTTCTTTTCCCTCCTAGGTTGAGGCTGGTGTAGTGTCTTGGCAGGGTTGATTTGAGTATCCCAAAATCTTACAATATTGGATTGTTGGCATAGTCTAGTGTGGACCTGTCTGTGTATGTTGTGTACCATAGACAAGATTGTGTAATTCCTGTTTATGGCTATGGTTACTTGTCTCTCTGTGTTCAAAGATGACTTTAGGAATTAGGGCTGGAATAATAACTTCTTCAAATAAAATGCATAACACTGTTGATAACTCTAACAACAGGTTTATTAATATAAAGAAAAATTAGGTAAATAAAATGTCTCTTATCTACTGCAAAATCAAGTTCTCTATTTCTGCTGGATGGTGATATGAGAACTCTAGTCACAAGTAATAGCCAGCTAGTAAACTTTTACTCAATTTTGTCATGCATGTGTTAGTTTTTATGCCAGTCATGGGAATTGTGGGTGTGTTCTTTAGTGATGACTATCTCATAAGCAATCCTGGACTGCTCTGAGCTAACTACCTCCTGAGCCCAACTCCATCGCTGTTTATATAGATGACTTCCCACTCAAAATTTGATATTGGTATATCTAATTTGTTCACTCAAGCCATCTTAATCTTACACAATCTTGTTAATAAACATGTAGTCTTCACTTTTGCTTTTAGAATATCCTATATATATTTCTGTAAAGATAATGGGCAGTAGCATCAACATAAACAAATTAAACAAAATTAAAAATTCTTTTTATCTAGAATAATATGTAAGAACATGTGTTTTGGGCAGATAGTATAATGTAAACAAACTCTCAAACTTAATTTCTCAGGACCAAAGAAATTTAGACAACATATTAAGTGTCTTCTTCTTTTCAGAATCTTGGCTAGTTAATTCTAGGTCCACTTCTCCTTGGAACTGTTCTTAAATTCATTTTATTTTAAAACAATTTTAACCCATTCCTTATTTAATTTTTTCTCAACCATTCAGCTTACTCTCCTGAGAATTATTATCCAAATCACCATTCTGTAATTAAATGTTTAAACAGGGTCAGTGCCCTGTTACATAATCATAAAATATATATGGTTCTATCATATTTACTATGCCATCTTTTTAAATTATATATATATATATATATTTTTTTATGTGTGGGCATCTGTGTGCATTGTCCAATGTTTTATGAATATATTTTGGCTTTCATAAGCCACTTTTCTATAGGTTTGATAGTGTTATGTTTTATAGGTATGAACTAGTTTTTTGTTGGTTTTGGATTGTCATATACACCAGTGGGTGTCATGTCATTTTTTTTTTTTTTTTTTGTGTGTGATATATATTCTGCATGTTTGTATCTAAATGGAATGAAATTTTATTGATTTGGGGTTGTTTGATTTTATGGTTAAAGATTTTAATATTTGTAGTTGTTTCAACTGGCCTCAGCATATTTGAAAATACAGATAAACACTATTGGAAAGATATATCATGTCAGAATGCCTCTAAATATTCTGATTTGTATCAATGTGTAGATGAAGAATCTGACAATAATATGAAGATTTAAGGCAAACCTTTTCATTGTCATTTGCATTTTATATTTGTTTGACTTGAGAAAATTGTCTACAATGAATAAGCAATGCTTTCAATCTCAATGAAGAATTAGCCATTGTCTTAACAAGCTTTTGTTTCTAATTCATTATTCTGGAGAAGAAAAAATTGCAAATAGGAAGATTTTGACAGTTTGAAGCCACTTGATGAACTTTTATGATTTTAATACAAGTCGGATATGTTTAAGCAGGTTTTTTCTTGGTTAAATCAGTTTTGCAATTCTAAACAACTATTTTGTTAGGATTGAAATTTTGGCAAACTTGGACCTTTGTGCCTGCAAAAAAAAAAAAAAAAAAAAAAAAAAAAAAACAGTTCATGAAAAGGAAGCTTATTCCCTTGACACTGTTATTACTGCATACATTTTTAACTTACTCAGGAATGATTGTTTTAAAAAGCAGTGATTAGAATTTGAATAAAACCCAAACATGAAAGTGGATTTATACATTTTCTGTATTCTTGAGAATTGACAACAAAGATATTAAACACTATTTATTAGATTGCTTATTAACAAGAATAATTTTATTTATTTTAAATTACAAGATTATAAAAATGTGAACAAACAATGGAATTTAAATGGCTTTAGTGCAATCTTCTAGAATAGAATAAACTTAGTTTCATAGAAAATGAACTCTTGTTGAACTGGCTATTGTGGCTTTATAAAAAGTCTTTCCATTGTGACAAACAATTATCAAAGTGAATTGATTCCTAAAAGAGATTAAAATAAATGGAAGATTAATTTAAGAAGAATAACAAAAAATAAATATTGGTGACAACTAGTTGATAACTTATTTTATATATAACCATATTTTGTGATGGAGAAAAAAAATCAAATGTTTTATTTACATTGTCTGTTCTTCCTTTTTTGACATTCCCTTCTTCCTAATCAACAATTGTTTGTCATTCATTCTTTCATTAAAACATCTTTCTTATTTATTTGCCATTTTTCCCCCCTTCAGGAGCAACTGTGACTTTTCAGCAGCAAATATTTTAAGGAAACACTACTCCAAACCATACTTTTTACCTAAGTCTTCAGAATCAAGTAAGACGGATTGGATCTTCATGGGAACTCCAGGATATGGTGCACACATGCATGTAAGTGAAATGATTTTTCTCTGTGTGTTTTTTGTTTTTTTTGCTTTTTATTTTTGGAAGAGTTTATTTTACAAGTCTCAGTAAAATAGACTCCCAGTCTAATTTGCTGGTAAATATTTTTTATTATGAAGGCAATGTTAAAAATAACAACATACAGATTTAATGCAAAAGTTTATTTATTTTCACCATTTAAAATCTTTTCCATCATCAATTGTTAAAACATAAGTTAAAATCGGTTATTCATCATCAATTATTAAAAGAAATATAAAAGTCTCTGAATATTTTAAGCACTTCAGACATAATAGTCTTTGCAAATCAAAAACTTGCCCTTGGGCATGGTTCTCTTGCCGATACAATTCAGGTGCACCCATTGAAGACAACAGTCACAGAATCCATGTCGTTCAAGTACTACTTACACAACTCAGATAGAAAGCTGTGCAACATATTTATGGAGCCTTGAGATCATCAGCGCAGTGGTTGTGTAAGTAGTACTTGAATGACGTGGATTCTGTGGTCTGTGACTGTTGTCTTCAGTGGGTGCATCTGAAGTGCATTTGGTGAGAACCATAAACTTCCAGCCATTTAGTGAAACGATCAACTACCACAAGATAATGTGATCCATTGATAGAATCTGCAAAATCTATATGCAGTCTTGATCATGGCATGTCTTTGGCTAATGTTCTATCTTTGTGATTGCTAGTTTTGCTGCTACAGTATAACCTTCACATGCTTTCACTATTTTTTCAATATCTTCGTCCATTCTGGTTAAAGATAGGAAACTACCCATCATAGATTTCATCCTAGAAATACCATGGTGATTGCAATGAAAATCCTTTAATATTCATTTCTGTAACACACTCAGTATTACAACTCTTTGACCATCACACCATTGCATACTGAGTACGTGTTTAAGTTTGGATTTTGTTCTTTGTTACTTTCTTTCAATTGCTTTTTTTATTTTCACAATAAAAATGCCATTTTCTTTTATTTACCCAGGGTCACTAGTAACTCTTATACTGCATTGCACAAAATGTTTATTTCTGCTTCACTTTTTAGTGCTGCGATGACAGTGCCCTCTAATGGTTCCACATTTTTAGGTATTAATCTAGATAATCCATCTGCATGACCTAATTTTTTAGGCAGTTGGTACTCCATTGTAAAATCATAGTTTAACAGGATGGTAGTCTATTAGCTCTATGAGTAGAGTGTACGTTTCTATGAACCATATATTGTCTGTGGTCTGTTTTGTTCAACATTCCAACCACCTGAAAAAGGCCGGAGTGTACAATGGCTAAAACTTAATAAATATGGCGACAAAGATGAGAACAATAGTCCGAATAATGGAAGTTTTCTTAGTTCCATATTTCTGTTTTCTTAATCAACTTTCCATATTTGGAGAATTATCCACCTTCCTTGGGAGTAGTTACAGGGATTGTGCCTTCCTTAACTCCAACCTGCTTCACTTCATATCTTGCATTGCTACTCCACACAGACAGAGCAAAATTCTGCCTCTTCCTTCTCAGTATTTTAACTGCCCACTTCTCATGGCTGACATAACTGTCTTTGTGTTAAATTTAATTTTTTTTAAAGTGCATAGGAGAAAGGACATGGTTTATTCTCCTCATTAATTTCAATTCTCTGACTCCTTTCCTGGACTCAGTTTTCCAGTGAAAAAACACAAACTAGATCACCTTCTCATTTTAACCTTTCAAGCAATAGATAAAAATTATTCCCCAGTTTGTTTCCATCAAATAAAATATATTTGTTTACCTAAAGAGACATGTTGGGCCAGTTGCTGTCTTAGTGAAAACATAAACCAGATCACCTGCCTGTTATGACAGATTGATTTGCATAATCCTAACCCTTGCAGTGGATTCATTCCTTTTTTATCATTTCTCAATTTCTTTTTGCTAATGAAAATATAATTCCTGTCTGCTTCAATAACACATGTTTTTCTAATTTCCCAAGAAAGAGATGAAGCCATTTTCAAATTTGCTTTACCCACATGCCAGATTTTTGACAGATAAAAAAAGTAAACTCTTAGTGCCTCATTCCAATTTGTAGGGGTGAGGCAATCCAGCTGGCTCTTTCTTCACTTCTGCATTACCAGGGAAAATGTCTTCCATTCTATCTTTATATCTCTCTATCTTCCACTTTTATATTTCGTTTTGGGCTTAACCCTTTTCCTGCTTAGAATTAATGTTTAAACACCTCACAAGGTATTTCATTACTTAAAATTATAAAAAAAATATTCCATTTTCCCCTTTTATTCTAACCATCCTGTCTATTTGAAACTCAAGTGAGACTGTTTTACTGATATACAGATGATTAGAATTCTTCAACTTTACAGAGTAGACAATAATTATGTCAAAGTTTAACAAATATACTTGCCCCCCCCCCAAAAAAAAAACTGTGTGTCATAAGGACATTTTTTTTTTTCTCTTATTGCTTACTATTACTTCCTTGATAATTTTGATTGTTTTGAAAAACTGTTTTTAGAATTTTAATAAAATCTAAACATATGAAACTGGATTTATATATTTGTTTTTTCTCATGAATTGACAACACAAATATTAAACAGTTTTTATCTAATTTATTAAATTGTTTATTTACAAGAATAATTTTATACATCTGAGATTATAAAAATATGTGACCCAAGCAATTAAGAATTCACCTCATGGCGATGAGTTCAATCCCTAAATTGTGATAGTGAAATCAGCAGGAATAAGCAAGGACAAAATAATACAATAAAAATAACATATCATTTATCCCCACCCCCTCCATCAAAAAACAAAAAAAAAAAAAAAAAAAGCTTGTAACATTTTATCCCAACTGAGCAGATTCTGAATTTGCTCTAATCCTGATGAAGAATGGTTGGTTCCTTGTACTACTCCAGACCAAATTCCTACTTCCATGCTCTATCATTACCAAAGTCAGATCTGACCAAAAATAGACTATGGCTGCTATATCTGGGCCCTCACTCTATAATCTCAGAAGAGTTCAAAAACATTTATGTGGTTTTGTGGGTGATGAATTATTTTCCATCCTACAACACTTAACCCACGGCCTTAAATGTTGCTAGCCTCTCCCTACTTTATCAATCTTATGATGGCAAATTTTCAAACAACTTACATTCTTTAGTACCATGAGTTTAGACCTTCACAGTTAGGATCCTGCCCTGCCAGATTCATGATGGCAAACTATCCCCATTCCCTTTGTGTTCCCTTGGTAAGGAGTAAGTTCAACTTGGACAGCTTCTTCTCTAGAGCTGTTAATTTGTAAAAAAAGACTCTTGAGAGGATACTTCTTATAACCACTACAATTTTAGCACCATAATGTGCACTTCTTACTTCTTCCTCTTTTGCAACAATCTCACTCTGTAACACTCTACCTTGAGTGGCCCTTGGGCTTTGTATTAAGTGAAGTTAAAAAAAAATGATATCTGAAGATGGTTAAATGGTACTTGACTGAAATGTTGTTTCTATAACAAGAAGAATTTTCAGTTGTGAAAATTTCCTTTAAAATTATAGTATGGAGGATGCTGAAAAGGGGTTGTAAAAAAAACTTTTTTTGATGTTTGATTGAGAATTTTTCAGCACCCCCCCTCATAAGTTTTATGATGGGAAGGAAAAAAAAGTCAATTTATCATTACATTTAGCAGCTTACCAAAGTTAAAGGTCTGCTTTATCAATGCTTGAATAAGAATTCACGATGTAATTAAAATCTTAACCACTTGTTATCAAAAAGCAAAGTAAAATTTAAAAAGATAAACTTGGTCTTTTAATGTAAATGAATGATTCCTTCTTTATTTTAACATAAAAAAAAACAAAATATTTTTGTGTTCAAAGTTCCCAGAAAACGTCCCCCCCACCCTCCTGTTAAAATTGCTGGCAGCTTTTACACATATCCAATAAAGAATTGTACACATGAAGAGTTTTTGTTTCTGGAATTTTCTGTTTTCCACCTCCCCCCCACTGTTTTTTCTAGGTGGACAATGTAGGAAACCCTTCATGGCAGGCCCAAGTGACTGGACACAAGAGATGGTCATTGATGCCACCCCCAGAATGTTATTTTGACTGTAAACATTCTCTGGAAGTCATTGTTAATCCAGGAGAAATAAGTGAGTATTTTCTTTTCCTTTTTTCTTCTTTTTTTTTCTTCTTTTTTTTTCTTTTTTTTTCATCTTTTTTTTTTTTTTTTTTTTTTTTTTTTTTTTTTTTTTTTTTTGTGCTCCCACCCAAATTTAATGTTCAGTTTATTGTGAAAAAAATTCTTACAGATTCTTTGATATATTTTGTCTATTGCTGTCTATATTTTTAACTATTTACACTATTCAGATGGTTGTCCTCCTCTTTATTGTCACATTCATAATGTTTTGGCCAATGTATGCTTCAACCTTCTTCAGATGAAATACATTGGAATTTTGAACTGAACTCTTTATTATGTCCACTGAGGTAGATTGATCTGATTCCACATGTCATGCTTTCAAAAGTGGTTCAACACTTCATAGACACCTCTTCCAAGTAAGACCTCCCATAGAAGAGAACATGACAGTGTGTATGCCATCCTATGCAGCTGTGGCAAGAAATAGAAAAGGGAAACAGACTACCCCCTTAAGGTAAAACTGCAGGAACACCATAAAGCCATAACAAAATAGTTGTGCGTTCAATACCTGGCCACAGCAGAAGTCAACAAAAGTTTGGAGAGTTGAGTTACTAAAGGGAGATAACTGAAAGTGAGACATCTGGAAGAGGCATGGTATATAGAACTAGAACAATATACCCCAGTGGACAAAATAAAAGGTTCGGTTCAAAATCCCAACATATATTATGGAGCGTACAATTGTCGAAACGTGAATATGACAATAAAAATGAGGACAACAGTCTGAACAATGTAAATAGTGTAAATATTTTGTGTATAACATCAATAATTTCAGCTATTAACTATCTTAATCATAAAATAACCAAAGATGAACTGATTATTTACAGCCATAAGTTTCAGATTGAATTTTTATTTGGTGCTTAATTAGACATCTTAAAGAATTTACCAATAAGCTTTTGAATTTTTATGTTCATAACACAGGTTCTGTTGAGAAATGCTTTTTTTTTTTGTTGTTGTTGTCTATCAGTTTAAGGCCATAAGATAAGTGAAAATATCTGAATGTTTTTATCCATTTATGCATTGAGAATTTGTCTTTACTCCTAGTAATCCAGTAGCAAGGCCACTGATCGGGAAATTGGAAGTTTTGAGGAGTGTCATTCCCAAGTGCACCCTAATCCAGGGTGGTAGCATCTGCTAGGATCCCAGCAATAGGCAAATAATGAACCCCTCAAACAAAAGCAAAACACTTTGAAAGTATAAAAATACATTTTTATAATAAAAATACCAGCAATACATTTTTATTTGCAAAAAAAATTACCACCAAAACCTATTTATAGTAAAATTATCAACAATATATTTTATCTGTAGTTGAAGACATACAATTGTTCAAAATATATTTAGTTGAAGACATTTAGTTGCATTCAAAATATTTAGGTTTCGGCATTAAATGACCTGTAGAGGTGTTGATATGCCGCTAAAAGATTCAACCAATCAACTTTACCCCTAGTTTTGTTTTCTGAAATGAATATTGCTTTACAGATTTTGTAAACTTTTTGATTTCTGGCAGTTTAGTTTTGAACTTCTCTCAAATATGGTCTGTGTGGAATATTGTGCTAAATTGCTTTTTTATCCATTTGATTATCTTACTAGTTTTTCTTTTGTTTTATTTTTCTTTTGAAACCCTTTAATAAGAAAGTGATCACTGCAGGAATATCTGTAGAAAAAGTTAAAATCCTAATTAGAATATAAACACCTTACAGGCAACTAGTTTTACCATTAGGCTTGTCTATATTCAGTCAGATTTGTATCAACTGAGTCAAAATTACTAATAAAATAATTGTATATAGACAGTTTACAAATAATTGTAATCTCTGATAATAATTTCTTTATAGCCAAACTACTCATTTGATCATTGTTACTACTGACAAAAAGAAAAAAAAAATTGAAAGCGTGAAAATGTTGAGTTTTTTTTATTTTCACTATTGTAATTCATGTAATTTAATTCCTAAATCATAAACGTAAGTAAAACTGAATCTTATGGCTGTAAATAATCAGTTCAACTTTCATACTCTTGTATATTTTGACTTCTTATTGAACTTAGTTAATTCAGATAATGCATGTGGTATTGCAATCAAGGTTGAATGTCCATTATTTTCAGAAAGAAGTCTGGTTACTCATGGAGTAAGTATGATTTTTAAAACCTGAAACTCATAATGAATCGTCAGCACATCTTTATGAAGTATTTATCAATCCAGTTTGCAACAAAAAATATCCAAACTTGTGGCCAAAAAGTGGAAGTTGTTGATTGAAAATCCATGAAAAGATTCAATTTGGTTGGCTGCTGGGGGAGAAGTATTCAAATGTTGTCTGATTATCATATTAAGTTTCTGAAAGAAATTTTATAAGTAACATTTAGGAAGAAAACACTGGGTGAAAGAGAGAAAATTATAATTTGTACAACTGAAATGATGTTAAAAATCATTATGATAATAATAATAATCAGTTTTGTCATTCATTACCAACAAAACTGATTATTTTATGTTATATTTCTCTCAATACACACTGCCTTAATAGTTTCATCTTTTCTTTCTTTCTTTTCAATTTTACCCCCTTTACTTTCTCTTTTCATTCTTCTTTCTTTCACTCTTTTACAAAATAGTTAAGTGAAAGAAATTTCCACTTCTTTTTCTTTGTAATTTAACCTTTTATATATAACCAATAGAAAAAGAAAATCCTGCCACTGATTGCCAGCCACACTTAAATTATGTCTGCTTATCGCATCTCCTTTTATTGGATGTCCACAGCTAAAGCCATTTCATTTGGCTCTGATGGAACTTTCTTATTGCCTTTGGTAGTAACACTATTTAGGTGTTTTTCGTTCTCCGACCACAATTCGATTATCTCCCTTTGATAAGATCTTTTCATGTGAACTGAGGCATTAAATTAAACTGCCTGAGTTGATAGCACCTAACCCCTGGCAAGCACACACACACACACACACACACACACACACAGCTATCAAGCGAGCCAATTGATGTAAGTGACTTAATGAAAACCATTTCACCGAGAAATGAATTCTGCAAAATTCTTAGCCATTCCAAATCCTATTACACTGTCATTTCATTGGTCACAGTGATTTCATATCAGCCTTTTCAGTTGCATTGGTCTGGCCTTATCTCTTACACTTGAGCACATTTTTGTGCTTGCAGTGTCCATGAACAGAATTTGAATGGGTGAATGTTGAAAAGTGGTTTATACCAATGAGTAATGACTTAGAGTTTTAAATCCATTACAAATGACTGGGCAGAGTTCTTCAAATTAAACAATGGAATAAATTTTTCCTTGTTCAGTTCTCATTTTTGGTTGATTGGAAATGGTTTCTAATTATTTCTGATGTAGAAAAAATCTACTTTTAAAGACTTACCAAAAGAAAACAACAACAATAACAATCTGGTAACTAATATAAGTTTGGATTTTGAAATTTAAACACCTGCCCTTTATTTTTTTTTGTTTTTTTTTTTCTTATAGACTAAAATGAATATTTTAATATTTCTTAAGGTTACACTTTGGTCTCAAATTTACATGGATTTATGTTGGATAATGAATTGGCCAAGGAATAACTTTTAATTTCAGTTCTATCATTTTAGTGCAAAAGAAGACATTCTTTCATGTTAAACATTTTCTTATTTTTAAACAGTTGGAATTTTAATTAAAGACAACTGTATTTTTGGAAAGTTACTATTTTAGCAAAATTAAATATGAATACAAAATAAGTGTGGCAGTTCAAATATTTAAAAAATTGGAGGATCATTTATTGAATTAGGCAAAAATTTAGCTAATAAACTTGGTACAGTTAAAACATTGCCATAAATAATTTTTCAATTCAATAATTACTTTTACAGGATCTTTTTGACAAGAGTATTTTTTTAATAGATTTATATTCAGAAACTTGATCCATAAGTTGATATTCTTTCTGTCTTAAAGCAGAACTATGATGGTTGTGTTAAAAGTCAAGTTTATCTCACGAGGAGTTTGTTTAGCAAATTCATATCAAGTCAAATGATGTCTGAGGTTTTTCTTAGTTTTGTTCAACAAGGTGAATCTTCTACCTTGCAGTTTTAAACCTCTTTTGCACCACTATGAATGGTGAGGGTTTCTGAAACATTACGAGATCTTTATGAAAGGAAAATCACCTGGAATTCTCTCATTCACTTGGGTTGCTGAGAAAATCCAGGAAATAGTTTGTTTCTGGCTGAAAGAATTGTGAACTTGATAATACAGCCACTCTTCATTTAATCTTTACATGTTTCACTGGTAAAATCTCATAAAATAATGAAAATCCAACCAGTTAGGATTGTATAAAAACTTTGATCAGGATTGTTTTTCTCTTCCTTCAGAATGAATCAAAATAAATAAAATGAATAATTTCTTAAAATTTACAGCATGCAAACAGGACTAATATACAGAATATATAAGTCTGATTTTTAAATCTGTTTATTGTTCTGTACTGTATAAACATTTAGAACTGGTGCAAAAAGTAATCTGAAATTTACATGAAGCTAGTCAACACAAAGCTAGTATTATGTATGCCTGAAATACTGTCCAGGTACAAAGTTGAAGACAAATCTATTTAATACTAGATTGGTTTAAAATGAATAGGTTCTGTGAAGATTTAGCAGAGAGGAATTTCTTGCTTTTAAATATTTGACTAGCCATAATTGTAGAATCTGGCAGGCTTCTGTCTTTGCCAATATTCTTGCTTCTGGTCAATGTTTATAGAGCATCTCTTTATAAAATGCCATTGCACTCAACAGATGACTAACTACAGAAATTGTGGAAGTTAAGCTTTTCAGGGAAAAATCCTCAATGATTTGTCCTTTAAAAGAAATGCAAAACATATTTACAAAAAGAAATCATCTATAAATGGAAAACTGACTTTTTTTTTTCTACATGTTACTATATTTGTATTGAATTCTTCCAGATGTAATTATTTGCTATTCACACACTTGAAGGTTTGCCTTAAGTGACAGATGTTATCTCAGAACAGTGTTAGACAAATTAAGGTAGCATGTTTTTTTTTTTTCTTCTTTATTTAGCACCTTCTAGCTGCATGTAGATATAGGAATTAAAAACAAGTATCTTAATTTTATATTTGTGGGATGAATTAAAGTCAAATAAAATTAAGTATTGTTATACTCTGTCACAATTAGACCTCATTCTGCATGCTGGCCGGATGTCAATGTTGCCACAAAGGTAGAAAACGAAATAACAAAAAGTAGTTTTCTGTACATTAGGCTCCATGCATCACATCCAGTCTACAAAGTGAGCTCCACGGTAGCTAATTGCAATTCTTCCTGAGATATATATATATATATATATATATATATATATATATATAGAGAGAGAGATATAGAGATATATGCATGCCCCTGGAGACTACCAGACCCATTTAGAAGCAAGCCTCTGAGAAAGACCAGGGCAGTTGTGGCTGTCATGCAGGGCACTACTACTGTCACAATGACAACAGAGTTGCAGCCCGGCTGTCATGTAGGACACTGTTGCTGCCTTCATCGCCACCACAATGACTGACCGTTACTACTTCCTGGCTTGACCAACTTCTTTGGCTATCCAGCTTCAACTTGAAACCTCAATTCCCCCCCAGCTACAAGCTTTCATTGATACCAACCCCCACAGTCACATCAATCTTCCTTGACTCGCTTATAAGGCATTCCCTTTGCAGTTGACACAGCGACCTGTTCCACACAACAGGCTTACCAACCAGTGCCATCAACTCATTTACATGGCATTCCCTTCGCAGTTGGCACCAGTGACCTTTGTTCCACAGTACCCTGGTTCAACACAACAGGTCTACCAACCAATGAAATGACCTACCACCATAACTTTGATCAACCAAACATGCTCTGACTGTATCCTGAATTCCATCCATCCTCCAACAATAAATGTTCAAATTTAATCCTTGTTATTCCTTTCTCTCACTACCAAATTCTTAATAGTACTGTTCATCAGACAAAAAAAGATTCATAGAAATTTCATGGCACATCTTTACAATTTAGGAATCAAATCCAAATTTATACATTTGAAGAGTTCAGAAAATAAGTTTTTTGTTACATCTATAATTTCTTTGTAAAAAATATATTTTTCTATATTAGCTAAAAACTTGTTATAGTCCAATTATTTTGAATATTTAATTGTACTAAAGGTAATTTGTATATTAATGAAATACTGAAAGTACTAATGCACTCAATACATAGTAGTGTAAACCAGTAATGATAGCAGATAATGTTTGTGAACAGTGTAGAATATATACTAGGTCAAAACAAAAGTTAGTGTTATTTTTAGGCAAATTTCAAAGACGATATTTAGACATTTACGTTTATTCAACCACATGTGCCATATTATTCCACTAACTTTTGCCATCTTTGTAGCAGTGTCATGATTCTATCCTCTCCAAAGTTGGTATCTTTTTGGACAATGAATGGTCCTAATTGGTTTTTACAGGCTTTCAAAGAATTGAAGTTTTTCCCATTAAAAAAAAATGTAGGAATCAAAATAAGTGGTCACTTGACATTTCAAGTTTGTCATCATAAAGATGTGTGTGTGAAAGAGGAGAGTATGGTGTTTTTTTTTAATTATGGAAGACACCTACTTTGCAGATGCTTTTCATTGGTCCAGTTGGGTACTTGTCTGAATTCAATATCTGATTTTGTGGAAAGGTAATAAACAATGCTCTTCCAATCTCACCAGATACACATCACCTTCTTTTGATGCTAACTGGCTTTTGGTTAGTTAACTGCAGTTCAGTATGTTTACTTCAAGGCCTTTTTTTTCAAACAATCTATTTTTCATCCCTTTTAAAAATTGATCATTTTTGTTAAATTTGAGAAGAAAATTGCAGATGGAAATGTAGCCCAATCAAATTTTTCTGCTAAATTGTGAGGTACCTAAACATTATCACAAGTATTTTCAAATGCTTACATTATCTCTGAAATCTCCCATGTAGTGTGACCTTGAATTATTTTTAATCAACATTTTGACTTGGTTATCCTCAATAATTGGGCCTTACAGATGAAAATTTCTGCTTACAAATGCACCTCCCATAAATGACTTTTTTTCAAATGACAAAAAAGAATTATTTTCCTTTATTTTCACTACAAACATTTAAAATAAACAAACCACACACAATTTAGAAAGATGTAGTGAAAAAGATACCTTTCAAAATTTATATAAGTAATGAAAAGTTTGGTAATCCATATGGATAATCCCAAGGAGGATGTAATCTGGAGAGCTCAATGTCAGATCAGAGCAAATATTAATTCAATTTAAATAGAAAAACAACCTTATATATATATATATATATATATATATATATAAAAATAAAATAATGTGTTCAAACACCATGTTTTATTCCAACCTAATAGATATGAAAAGGGGGTATTAATCTTTAATTATATGGAGTGAAAGGATATGTTGGCTATCTATTTATAATGAAATCAGTATGGCTGAGGTAGTAAAAGTATGGAATGACATTGATATCAATAATTAATATAAATAGAATTGAAAAAAATTATTTCATTCTCTAAATGATTGCATGTTTTCTTTGTTTTTTTTTTTTCAGTTGTCTTAGACACCAACATTTGGTTTCACAGCACCCGCAATGTAGGTGATGATCTCAGCATCACAATTGGATCTGAATATGACTGAAAATGAACAAAATATTTTGTACCGTTCTTGTTGTAAATTTAATGTTTGTATGACTCGGACAAAAAAAAAAAAAAAAAAAAAATGAAAAGAGAATTAAGAAATGTTATATTTTTTTGACAAAAGAATGGTTTATCAATGGATATCATTTATTTATTTATTCATTCCCTGTTGAAAAAAAAAAAAAAAAAAAACTTCAAAATGTAGTATTTTATTGAATAAAAAACAAAACTGAATGCTTATACGTTATTTCATCTTCTTTAAATATCTATGCGTCTTAATGTTACTATTTCTAGTGAATGTGGTGGTGATAATGGTTTAGTTTTGAAAGAACCCACCAGAAAAAAAAAAAAAGTAACAACAAAATTAGTAACAACACATTCAAAATATATTTATCAAGCAATTTCTAACTCAGCATGAAATTAATTCCAAAAAGCCATATAAGTTATCAATATTTGATAATTAAAGAAAATAATGACTGGGTTGGGAGGGGACAGAGTTGACCTGATATTTTTTTTTATATAATTTTGTTATATGGCCTATCTTATAAAGAGATTGGTTTTGAGTAATTTTATGTCTTAAATGTAACTGATTTGAAGTCAATCCTATGCAGTTATTAGTGTGGGACATTTTTTTTCTCACAAGTAAAATCAAGAGAAATCTTTTATATAAAGGTCTCCTTAGATTTCGCCAATGAGGTAACTAAAATAATTCTTAATTGAAGATTGACCTACCAATTTTTAGTGTCATGTTATTAAATAACGCATTTGAATGTCAAAGTAGTTCTAGGCTGTAAAAGATTAACAACAGCAATAAAAACAGTTTTAAGTATTTTGACCACTTTTATTCAGCTGCTACCTGTGATTTGATTGCGGCAAGGTGCCGTGCAGTTACTGATGTATCCTGCCAACCACTACTGGTACCAGTTGGCTGAAGAAAGCACTGCCCTTATTCTTTGTTGTCACTGGTTCTAGTCAGAGCAGATTTTTTTTTTTCAGTCTCCAACAAGGCAAATGAAATAGAAAGAGTTGTAAAGAAACCTTAGCTCAGTTCTGTGTTTTTTTTTTTTTTTTTGCTTTTGTTTTTATTGTTGTTCTGCTGGAGTGGCTTCAGCAACCATTTCTAAATGAGTGAGCACCAAAGAACAATCATAGCCGGACCAGTCAGATGGAATGACCAACTTGACTGTCTTAAACTGGATGACATCACCTTTGCTCAGCTGGAGAGAGAGAGAGTCTGGCATCTCCGGGGCTCTTAGAAGGAAGGGGAAACAACTGTTGCTTCAATCTTGTTTTAAGGTTTTTACATTTCCTCTAAATATGGGCAATACTCGTTCTATCCAGTTTTCATGCCATCTTACTTTCTGGAATTCTTTCAGATTCGAACGAAATTTTTTCAGTTTTGAATTATTTCTGTAGTTTGTGAGAAGTTCCTGGAAGAAAAAAAAAAAAAAAAAAATTTACTATTATTTTATTTTCAATTGGAAGAAAAATTGTTTAAACCAAATTTCTATTGATTTTTATAAACATTCAATGATTATAAAGAATATAAGAACGTTTTAAACAGCAAAAACAAGATTGACACAAGAAATATGATGATGATGATGATTATTTACAGTTTGGAAAATAGGAAAAGTTGTTAGTTGCCAACTAAAATGGGGGGGGGGCTTTGGATCAAAGCAGCAGCTCACCTGAAGACCTTGCAACAATTCATCACTGTCTTTGAAAATATAACCATTCTCATCATGTTTCACTAATTCTGATAAACTGGAAGGGGGAAAAAAAGATATTTTTTCAAAAGATTAATGACAATATTTGTTAGATGAAGATTTCTTGAATGTGTTCAGAAAAAGATAAAATGTCAAGAATTTATGCAAATTCACATGCCTAAATGCCAAACTAAATTTAGCCAGTTTATTTGTGCCTAATGACTTACGGAAAATAGTTTTTATGTTTCAGATAATTGAAATGGCTTTAATGCTAGATATTTAATTAACAAGATATTTCAATAAAAATAGAATTCAAACATTTCAATGAAGTCAAGTTTAACTTTACAAATTGAATTTTTATAATATTTGGACAGATGGCTAAACTAGCTCTGCCAGTTTTTCTTATATGCAGATAATACTTTTATCATTAAAACAAGTCAATTCCTTCAGCACAAAAATGATGCAATCTTCAGAGAGACACAAAATGAATGTGTTAATAAAGGATTTCTTTTTTAGTGGCTAAAATAATACTTACCAATTAAAATGAATAGCACATACAGGTAGACAGCATCCAAACATGTCAACAACCTTCATGGGCAAATCAAAACCACTTGAAGATTTGTGTAAACAAACCCCAATATCAGCACAACCTAAAAAGGGTAAAAACAAAAGAAAAAACAAGGAAATTTGCTTGAAATAAATCAAAGTGTTATTACCAAAGTGAAAAATATTGAATGGTACAGGTAATGTCACATGGCCATGCTATTCTTGAACAAGGTTCCTGTGGAATTATCATCTAGCTCATTCCTACTTTGAAGAGTAACAAATTGACAAATAGAGGATATAAAAAGTCATTTCTGCAAATTTAACAATAAGGATTCTATTTAGAATCCTATAAATAGATCTGTTTATTGCAATTGATAAATTCTGGTGTTTTGCAAACTAGAATTTTTTTTGCAACATGCTGTGTATTCAAATCTTCATGGTATTTAGTATTGTTGAAGTTATTGCTAACATTTTTGCTGAGATTTACAAACTCTCCGTTTAGTTCAATTTTGTAAACCAATTGAAGAAATTTGAATAAGCTGATTTATTTGGAAAAATACTTTGACAAAAACCCTACTTTGTGGTTTAATAATTTCTTTAATTTAATTTTGTAGGACTTCATGGTAAACAACATTTTTTAAGAAAATTTATTTTTTTCCTGAAGAATAAATTCTTAGGATTTCTTACTCTTGAGCATGCAACATATAACTGGCCATACGTAAATATTTATTTCTGGAGCCAAATTCCAACATTTTGAAATGTTTGGCCTTGTTTATAGTTCTTGCAAACACAGACAAACTGGGAACTGGATTCTTGCATATACAGAGTGCGATGAATAAATTGTCGTCTAAATGACACAAGAACGAAAATCACACTGGCATCTCATTTAAACAGATATATTTACCAAAATTACACAAAAATATCTTGAAATAGTAAAGAGTAAATTTATCCAATATATTGGCTTCAACTATGGCCTCCGGATGACTTCGGAATCTCCTGCAACTTTTCTGGACGGACTCCTTGTCTTCAGTTCATCTTAGGTGTTACAAGGAGTTTTGTTGGTCTCTTGCTCAACTGCACCCCACACATAATAATCAAGGGGGTTGGAGTCTGGTGAGTTGGGTTGGCCAGATCCAACTCTTTTTGAATCCTCTGCACTGTTTTCAGATTGACACCCAAACACTGGGAAATGTTTGTATTGGAGCTTCTGGTGTAAATGCCAAGAAGTACAGCATGCCATTTCCAAATTTCTGGCTCTTTTACTCACAGATGGTGCCCAACTGACCCTACTATACAGTGCAGTCGACAAAATCAAAAACAAACAACGTGATGCACAAAATTGAAATTATAAAATGGCAACAATTTACCCATCGCACCCTGTAAAAACTTAAAGATATGCAAAAAAAACAATATTGGATTTTTATTAAATAACTATGTTATTTTAATCATTAAATTGTTTTTAAAATAGTGGGAGAATTTTGTATGTTAAATAATAAAACTTTAATTTTTCCAAAAGAATGAAAATGTATTGTACTAAGCTACACACTCTAGTAAAAACTATACTTTGTACCCCTTACCAGTTTGTACTTTTCCCCCAAATTTAGTTTCAATTGGTCAATGTATGACTATTTTAGATCATGTGTTGGACAGATGGACCGACAGACTAACAGAATTTATATATATATATATATATATATATATATAGAGATAGAAGAATCTCAGTTCTATTGTAATTCATTAATTATAAAAATCTTTATAATTTATGTGTATATAAACAGTGTGAGATGTGCTTATGTTGGAACATGACAAAAATAACAAGAAGTCAAGTAATCGGCAGATTTGATGAGAGATGTCAAGTCTGGTTCAGTGCAGTTGAGATTGAACATTTTTTAGCTTTCATTGACAAACTCAATTTCTGTGAAATACTTCAATGGCAAAGAGTAACAATTTTGTTTATACAAACTTTGATTCTTTCAGAATGAAAATGATTTGCTGCAGTTTGCCATTGTTCTGGGATTACAAGGATGATGGTTTTCAGATTCAGATATTACCATATTCACAACGTTTCAGCTGTTGTATGCTCCAGCCTTCTTCAGGTGATATACATTGGAATATCAAACTGAACGTTTTATTTAGTCCACAGGAGGTAGATTGTTCTAGTTCTACATGTCATGCCTTTTCTAGAGAAAATATATCAGCTGAAGAAGGCCAGAGTGTACAACGGCTGAAACAAGAAAGATGAGGATAACAGTCCGGAACAATGTGAATAGTGTAAATAGTTACAACATCTCATCTCAGCAATATAGACAGATGTTAAAGTATTTATGGCCCTACACATGCAAAATTGAACAAGACTAAAATCCCTTCCCTGGTTATCAAAGTTAATTTTCTTCTGAGATTTAGAAAAATAATCTCAATACTACATTTTCATCTGACCAAGTTTTCTGTTGTTGATAGAGAAAATATTTCTGAAACACATTTCACATAATGTTTTGTTGGGTTTAAATAAGTGGAAAGGATAATTAGCAATAGAATGAGAGGATTTTTTTTTTTTACCTAAAAGAACCGGATAATCTTCTGCTTCAAGCCATGGCAGACAGAAAGATATCTGCTTCCATTCTTTCTGTTCTAATTCTTTTTGGTAATGATGTTTCATGAGGCCTTTACCTAGAGAAAGAAGAAAAAGCGAGACTCTTTTCAATAAAAATTGTTAGAAGATTGCAAATTTTAATTGCAATAGTTTTCAATATTCTTCCAATAATGAACATTCCTGCTTTATATTTCTTAAATATTTATCAATATTCACAAGATTATTCCTTTTTTTTTGTTTTTGTCATTTTTAGATTTGTAATTTTTGCTTAAGTTTCTTTTTAATAAAGTAAAAGAATAAAAATAATAAAAGGCCAATTTTTCTTACCAGTTATAACACAGACTAAACGTGGTAATTTTTCGTTCTGTGTACAAAGCTTTTCATATCCTGGAAAAAGAAAAATATTCACAAATCTAAACAAAAGGAACAAATAGAAATCAAATAAATAAACAAAGATTTTCAAAATAATTTTGGGAGGAAGAAGGAGGAAAAAATAAAAGATTAAATCTTTACTAAGAGGAGAAGAAAAAAAAATTCTAGAAAAGATTCCTCTTGACAATCTGATCAAAATCATAATTAAGCTTAAATTTCAAATTAAAAAACAAAATTAAATAGGAAACAAATCTTGATAATGCATAAAAATTATATTTAACTCTATTTTTATATAAAATTACTGGAAAATTTAGGAGTTGACCAGAGTCGGGATCATTGAGTCAATGCAAATGATCCTTTCTGTAGCTGCATTGTGTACTTTACCAGAGTGACATACAGTTTTCAATTCAGAGCTTTCCTTCTCCTAGACCAGTTGCCACCCAAGGCTATAGAATCCAGTCTGTCCTACTATTTACCCATAGCTGAGGAGAGAAGAGTTGTATTGATACCTTTTCCAAGGGTATTAGTACGTGACTGTAATGAACCCAACTAGAATTCAAACTCAGCTCTCCAATTCTGACCTGCAATCCATTACTCTACTGTGCCTTCTTGGAAAATAATGACTGACAATTTGAGGAAGCTGCATTTTCATTTGGTAGAAGCCTTTTTCTACAACTTCAAATGACATTCCCCCACCCATTATCTTTCATCAAAGTTTTATTTGCTTAAATGCTAAAAGTTTTATTTTGAAGCTCACACTAATGGCCACCATTTCAGTTTGTGAGAAGAGTTTTTTTTTTTCTTTCTTTTTTTCATTCTGTGATTTCATATTTTGCTAGACTTTTATGAAAAAATATTGGTAAAAAAGTAGTTTATTGATATCTTTTTCCTGGTAGCTTCTTGGTTAATTTTTTTTTTTTTTTTTATTAAAAAAGGGTTATGTTCCCCAATCACTCGACTGAATTATTAAGATAAAAAAGAGAATAAAATGTCAATGGTATATAGCTTAGTGAAATACAGGTGAGAGCAGAGATAGAAAGAAATGACTAAAATTAGAATAGGTAACTAGTCAATTTTTCAATACCCAAGGTTTAAAATGAATTTTTAAAAATGAAAAAGCATTCTTAAAGATTTTATTTTAGCTTTAATTGAAAGCTAAAAGGATTAAATTTATTATTTCCAGTAAGTAAAATATTCTGGTGTATTTCAGATAGAAATCATATAGATTGGAATGTCAAATATATGTTCGATTTTTTTTTTAAATTTCTTAAAAGCAGCCATTTTCTTAAATTTTAAGAAATTTGTAAACAAAAAAAAATTTTCGATTTTAAACTTCTTCCAAAAATAAATTATATATTTTTGACACATTATTTGAGTAACATTAGAAAATTTAAAGTTAAATTAATCTGATTTGAAACAAACATTACTTATAGCATAAAAAAATTTATCCAAACATTTCTTAATGATGTGTCTGAATTTTCTTGTGACTTTATTCACGTTATCGATGTTATTGAGAAATTACGAGGTGATGACAGCTACTATGGATGACCAAAATTTATATAATTTTATGAAATGTAAGCTAACGAATCTTTTTGTTTTTAACTAGTAATTTTTAAAATATTAACATTTTTTCAGCAATTATGTAATATTTATTTTTTAGTCTGGATTTCGTTTCTTAGGTTCCTATTCTTCTTATCTTATTTAATGACTTACTAACTTAAATAAAAAAATACTTCAATGAAATATGACCCAAACTAAAATAAATACCTAAAATAAAAATATTTAGTAAAAAAGTAATTAACAAAAATTAAAACTTAGAAATTTTGGAAGGACTTTTTGCAAACATGTTAACGATGTGAAACAGAATTGGATATTGAAGGGAAATAATTGCAGTGCCTCAGACGACAAATCACGTGACCTTTTTAAGGATTATGTTATGTATAGATTCCCCATAGCCAAAAATTAGGAACGTTTTTTTCCACTAAAAATTATTTTAAAAATATTCGGGTACAAACGACTGTACAAATTTCAATTCGTAAATTTACTTTTCACTTAACCATATCACTAAATTGCATGTTTAAAAGCAATGAAGAATTTATTATATTAATATTATAAATAAATTCTTTAAAAAGCAAAAAAAAAAATTTTTGTAAAAATACATTATTCATTGAAAATGTTTTATTTATTCAGACAATAATGTCCTTAATATAACTTATTTACAAAAGCAAGTAAAAGGTTTTCTAATTAAATAATGTCATAGTTTTTTTGCATTTTTTTTTTTTACAATTCAGAGCAGATTTTTGATCAAACCAGTAACTGTTTTACAAAAAAACCCCCCAAAAAACTGGTGATTTACTTTCTCTAAAGAGTCCCGATTTTAACTAATAAAAAAAATCCTACTCTTAAAAATTTAATTTCTCAAAATTTCATATGTGGAAACATAAAAATTTTTTTTAACAAGATTAAAAAAAAAAAAAAAAAAAAAAAAAAAAAAAATTTCAAAAATAATTTAATTCATTTCTGAATATTTCCTGAAAGTTTCATTAAGATCCGATTAATTTTCAAATCAATGTGTGTTTTCCTCGGGGGAAAAGCGCAAAATAAAACAAACCTTTTTTCTCTTTTTTGAACACTGTTGTAAAAAAAAAAAAAAAAAAAAAGTCAAGATTTTTAACCAAAATTTCGAATGTGCTAGAAAGGAGTAAAAAATTTAAAAAAAATAAAAAAAATACTTTGGTCTTTCCTCTTAATAATAACAAACATTTTGATGACAAAACTGTTGTCGTTGAGTTATGGGCCTTTTTTCATCATGCTATGCTGGATTTTTTTTTTTTTTTTTTTTTTTTACACGACCTAGTGGAGGTACGTAAATTAGAACAATTAGATAATTTGCTATTTGTTTGGATTTGTTAATGTATTAAAAACTAATGATCGATAACAAAAGAGAATTTTTCATATTTAATTGGCCCAAGGATATTCTGGCTTAAGAATTATACTAACCTGAAGTTAATATTTTGAAAATATAAAAAAAGTATTGAAGTATTTAGATGGAAACAATACTCACCATCAAGAGCACTCATTAAAACACTAAAATCTTCATCCACTAAAAGAGAAGCAAAATAGTTAACTAAATTAAAACCATGAAAGAGTTGCAAAGCTGGAAAATGGCTAGGAATTAATCAATCAAGGAAAGTAATTATTCAGTTTATTGAGAGATCAGAATGTTGTTTAAACAATAATAAACAGAGAATATAAAGTGTAAATAATGAACAGAGAAGAAGAAGAATTTAAGAGTTGATTCTTATTTTAATCGTTTTTCTTTTCAGAGAAAAGACAAAACAAAATTTGTAACTTGACGGTTAACAAGAAATATAACTGAAATGATATATATTTTAATATATATCATCTCAGTTATATTTTGAGAGGTGAATACAAAGCTCAAATCTGCTATGGTTAGCTGGAGATATAGACAAGAGAAAGTTTGATCATACCAAACAGCTGAATATTAATCAATGTGTAAAATAGGATTTTAGAATACAAATTAGTTTCATCCAATTAACACTTATTGCATACTTGTAAAATCATACATATTAAATTAATAATGTAAAAAAGCCGTAAAATTTAATTTCATTATGAGAATTTTCACATTCTAAAATGATAACGAAAAACAAAGTCATATTGTGTTTCACAGTTGAAGCCAAGAGAAGATTTAAAAAGTGAATAAAAAAAAAAAAAAAAAAAGCAAATAGAATTTTATTTCTGAAGAAAATCAGAATGTCAAAATAGTGTGAAATTGGGAAAATAAGACAACAAAATTGCATAATAACTAATGATTTTATGATGAAGGATTTTAAAATCCTTATATCATCATCATTATTTTTCATAACATTTTTGTGAATGATGTAACTGCTTCAGTCAACAGAGATGACGACATTTCAGTGAATAAATGAACAGTTGTCAAAGATTGAATTCCTCGTTAGAGATGTCCGTTTTGTGTATTTATTATAAGAAGTTAAGAAAATCCTATCAATATTGAAAGACGCAATAAAAAAAGATTCCTAATTGCTGCATAAAATAGAAAGAAAAATATTTCTTAAAAATAAATATGCAAAAATTATTTTACTCCCCACTTCCATCATAAATATTTCCATAATTATAAAAATAATTTCTTTGAATTATAAGAATCCATTTTAAAAGTCATTTAATACTCAAGTCCTGCTTGATTTGAGATTAGAAGAAATACAAGTTTACTCACTTTAAATTTTAAATGAAGTTGGAGTTTAGTTAATTCCAGAGTAGTGTCCCCTGATTTGCAAATCCTAAAACAGGAACTGATTCGACAATGAGCCTTAGGCAGCCTTTAAGCAATTTTTTTTTAAAGTGACGACATTTGTAATAAATCATGAAATAAGTTCAGAAAATTTCAAATCCAATAATTAATTAAATTTCCACAAAAAGTAATTTTTAATTGTTACATTTTAACAAATGTAAACAACTTATCTATCTGATTCTATAAACAATTTTCTATCTCAGAATTTCTTTATTCTTTCCTCTTAATGACACACAACTATGGAAAAAAAAATTTATTCATAGATAATTTGGAGTTTTTCATTATGCACGTCACTTCCTAGCATTTTGTGATCAATATTTAATTAGAATCATTGTAAGTTTTGCTAATATTTTGAGATATTTTTTCACATGAGATTTTTCTTTTTAGTGTGTCAGAATATTTTGTCAAATTTATTAGCATTCTAAAAAAAAAAAAAAAAAAAAAAAAAAAAAAAAAAAAAAATTCTGGATTTAGAAATTCCAATGGAAATAGAAACAGTGTAAATAACAATTTTTGTAAAACACTAGAATTTCAAAGTCTGTTTTCTTGTCTCAACACTTGTGCATGTAACTCACCTGTCCAGCTTGTACTGCTAATGAGAAGGGCTGGACGATCATCCAGCAAACTCACTTGACCGTTCTCGTCCTTTATTGTAAATCTGGTCTTCTCCACAGAAAGTGACTCAGGATATTTGCTAAAGAAGGGGCGGGGATTAAAACGTGAGAGGGGAGGGGAAAAAAAGAATGAGAGAAAAAAAAAAAAACCGAAATGAAATTTATGCAATGAGTGTAGCAGGAAGCATGCAATTAATCAAACAGGAAGTAGTAAATGTAAAAAATAGTTTAAAATAAATAGAAAAAGCGGAATTTGTGCAGAAAGAAATTCAAACACCATTCAAACTAAAAAAAAACAAAAACAAAAACATGGTTATTTATAATGACTAATTTGATTAAGGGAACTTAATGATAAAGGTTAACCATTATTTTAATATGACATTAATGTTCATTAAAGGAATTAAACTATAAATGAAGCTTTAAATATCTGAACATAAAGACAACAATATTGAGCTTCTGTAAACTGTAATTGAGGAAAACTCTAAGCAAATTGCATGAAAATTAGCAAATCAATTCAATACAAGTCACATTTTGATCATAAAACATTTTTAGGAAAAAAAAAGTGTCTAAATTCTGACTGAATCTCAGTGTTTTACCCTCTCTATATCATTGAAGAGTAGACCTGTTTACTGTACTTTATATAAGAAGTACCAGTGATGAAAAGTGGGTTCTCTATAATCATATCTAATGAAAACAAGAATGGCTAGCAATCCATCCCCAAAACTAAGGCTACATTTGAAAAAAGATACCTTCTATGTTTGGTGGAGATATGAACTGTGTGATTGATTATGAAGTGTTTAACTAAAATGAAACAATGTGGAAGAATACTGTCACCAATTTGAAGCATTGTACAAAAGTTTTCAGGAAAAGCATTCATCATTGGTTAATTATACATAGGTACCTCCACGAAATCGCTAAAAAAAAGAGCATAGCTTGATGAAAAAGACGCCAAACTTGCCGAAAACTAAATTTTATTGTCTAAATGCTTATGTTATTATTAAGAGGAAAGACCAAAGTTTTTTTTTTTTAATTATTTTTGAAAAATTTTCCTTCTTTTTAGAACATTCTAAATTTTGATTAAAAAAACCTTTTTTCTATTTGTATCAGCGGAACTAGTAAATAACATAGACAATTTTTAGCACGTTTTTTGGTATGACACACATTAATTTGAAAAATCGTGCAAAAATAGAAATAATTATCGGATGTTAATGAAACTTTCAGAAACTATTCACAGATGATCGAAATTATTATAAATATGTTTTTTTTATGAAAGTCATGGTAGAAATATTTTTTTAAATATTTATTACCCCCCCATAACTAATTTTATGAAAACGCTAGAAATTGATCGCATCGGTTTTAGTGATTACAATAATTAAAAGCACAGGGCTTTGAGGAATGCAAATCATCATTTTTTTTTTGTTTTTAATTGATACGCAGTACATGAAAATCAGCTCTGAATTGTAACATACAAAACTCAATAAAACAAATATATTATTTAATTTCAAATGCTTTTATTTGCTTTTAGTTGTTTTTATGAATATGGACAATATTTTCTGAAAGCAAAAAAAATTTTTCGATGAAAAATGAATTTTTAATACAATTATTTGTTATTTCATTAATTATAATAGATTTTACATTTAAGTTGTTAAAATATTATAAAATTAGTTAAAAGCTGCATCGGCTTTCATAAGTGTCCTTATGAGATAGATCTTTTTTTTAGCGCGTTGTAAATTGTATCATTTTGACTAATCAGAAGATCCCCAGTAATTAAGAAATGTAATTTTGTGCTTATAATCGAGCTGTAATTATAAAATACGGAAGACCAACCAGAATATAATTAAGTTGCGTTATTTGAGTTAAGCATTGTTCTCCGCTGTTAAGGCCTTTACTTTTGCCAAACACGTGTGGAGAAGTTAATTTGATTTTTTCAATTTCAACTGAGAAGGGTACCTACAAGTATCAGTATCATCTTATGAAATTTATATGATCTTATTTTTATATTAATCTCAGTTACGACATTTTTCCATAAATGAAATATCAAAATTAATAATAAAATGAATGCAAATACAAATAACAGTAGAATGTAATAAATGTACATAAAATTATAGTATTTTATGTACAATTCTGATAAAATTTCATAAGAAAGGTACCTATAAATTAATTAGATACCTTTCTTAAGAAATATGAAATTTAATGTCACTCTTAACAGTTTTATTTTAATTTCTTTTACAATATATTTCCCATAAAGCATCATAAACGTAAAGGTGAAAGCTAAGTACAAAAAAAAAAAAAAAAAAATAATTAGACGCTGAAAGTTTTCGTTAAAAATAACGGGGTAAATAATTTGTTCACATAAATGTAAATTATTTCACTTTTCTCCTTCGTAGAACAAATTAGCCTCATGGAATTGTAAATATATCATTCATCACATGTCAAGAGACGCGAAAGTTTATGACCTGCTTTGTTTTATTTTCAAATTACATCTTTTTGGCACAAAAGCTAAGTTAAGTTTGGTTCAAAATATTTTAAATAAACATTATAATTTCTGATTTTCTTAAAATAAGTTTTGAAAAAAATGATAATTGATATTTAAAAAAATTTCAAAGTCAGATTTCATTTTTTTTTAAAATGGAAAAAAATGGTCAATTTTGCTGACTCAAAAAAAAACTAGATTTTTTAACGAAAATTTCGGACGATTAAAAAATAAAAAAAAAAATACCCAAAAAAATACATTGACCTTTCCTCTTAATAATAACAAACATTTAGACAATAAAATTTTGTTTTCGTCAAGTTTGGCGTCTTTTTCATCATGCTATGCTCTTTTTTTAGCGATCTCGTGGAGGTACCTAATTATACATAAAGGCATGTTTCTCTTACATGATAATGGAAGAGAAACATGTTTCTTGAGTCACTCAAGATTATTGCACTAATATGGAAGTTTTGCCTAATCCTCCTTACTCTCCTGATCTTGCTCCATCAGATTATCATTTCAGATCATTGTAACATTTTCTAGAGGACAAACAGTTTATTAATTGTGACCAGGTTAAAACTGATATTGAAGGTTTCTTTGCATTGAAACCTGAAGTATGTCATAACCAAGGGATCAACAATTTGCCAACAAGACGTTATCAAAAATGGGGGGAGGGGGTGGTAAACATTATCTTGATTGAATATCAATTAAAATCAAACAATCATTTGTTTCTTTTCCATCTTCAAATGACAGAACTTTCTTTTGAACCAAATAAATGTTAGAAATTGAAGTAAAATATAATAATCCAAGAAGGAAAAAAATAATGCTGAAGAATGTGACATTTTTAATTTAAAAATCTCTAATGAGAATACTTGTGACATCATATAATAATAATAATAATAATGCAAAACTGTAGGGAGTTAGACTTGAATGATTATTACGCTTATAGAATTTTAATTATTAGACAAAGTGTATTTTGCATCTTGTACAAAACAAAAAACATTCTCAATTTATTGCTTTTATTATTGTAAGGGCAAATATCTGAGCAATTAAAATAATTTCAAGCAACATTAAAAGAGAAAATTATTTTTATCATGGAACTAACATCCATTTCCATTTAATTACACCAGATGAACATGAAAAGGGGAAACTTTTTGAATACATTATATATATATATATATATATATATATATATATATATATATATATATACACACACTGCAGTCACAAAAACATAAAAAGTGTCAAACATTATTTTTAAATGAGATTTAGTCAAATATTTTTTGTTCTCTATTTCTAATGATTTCAAACAAATAAAAGGTTAAAACAAAATTGCTTTACCTGGGTGAAAAGACTGGATAAAATTTACTGAGTTCCATGAAAAGTTTGTGTTGGCTTTCCAAGGAAGTCTCTTGAAATGTCAATGGCGCTCTGTCATACACAGTGTGAGCTCTACAAATAAGTAGTTAGACGATTCATTTTCTGTTTCAACATTCAAATAATAATAATAATGTTCTTATGAAATTTTGATAAAACAGTAAGGCACCAAAATAGAATTGTTTTGCAACAACTTTTTTTATGAATTTAATCTGTTTTCCACAAAAAGAATTATTATCACAATACCTTTCATCTTTTTTTTTTATTGTGTTTATACAATGCATTCATTAAGATAATTGTTGTAAAATGATTTAATGTACTTTTTCACGTTTTTCAAATGTTTCATTATCAAATATCATTATCAGATGACGTGCTGTTTGGTGAATCAACAATTTGATTTCTAATTATACAAAACAGATTTGCTAAGATCTAATTAAAATCATTAGCAATGTACAATTTGAATGATTATATAAGACAAAATGATGGTTCTGTCTAGTAAAGTCATAAGATCTGATTTTTTTTTTTTTTTATCCGTTTACAATATTATTTAATAAGCAAGTCACAAGTATGGGGTACCTAGTGAGGATCAATCCCATGAGTAATGATCTGTGAGACATCACAATGAAGAATCATCTGAGACAAAATGTATTTAAATATTCTGATAGTTTTTATTTTTTTTCAAATCTAAAAAAACGAAAACACTGCTGCCACTTTTTATCTTTGTTTATTTTATTGGTTCATTACAATTGGCACAGGTGAGATTTCGAGATTTTTTGCCCCAAGTGTTCAGAAAGGAATGGTACCATTTTATAGCAAATATAATTTGGTCATTAAAACACTAGTGTTTTCTCTTTGTCCTAAACTGTTTAGAACATAAACTTTTTTTTTTTTTTTTTAAATCATTTAACCTTCAAGCAAGACAATAATGCCACTAAGATGCAAGGGAAAGAAAAGACTCTAGTGAGGATAAAGAACAATTAAAGAACAGATTCAGATAGAGAGAAGATGGCAATTAGTGTCGCATTGAAATTTTTAAAAATTGTAGGTAGCATAGAAGCAAGAAATTGGAAGGGAGTTCCACAGGCAAAAAAAGAAACTATTAGAATATAACATCCAGTTGCATCTAAGCTAGTTCAATAGTAAAATAGTGAGACCTAATTGCCAATCTAGTAGAAAAAGATGTCAGTGGGAAAGTGACTGAAGTCAAGGTGCCAGGCTAGGATCAATTACATTACAGAACCATCTTTGAAATTTTTTTAGAATCCCTAGATATATAGCACCAGACCAGATACAGCAGCAATATTCAATGTATTGAAGAATGGTAGATTTATAAAATGTGCAAGGATTCTGACAAGAGAAATTGTCTGGCACAACATATTGAACTAATTTTCCTAGCAGCAGAACTAGCCATTGATTCAATATAATCTTTCCACTTCAAAAGGCCCAAATTGAAAATTGTGAAGACATCTAAGAAAATAAAAATTAAGATAATTCTGTTTTCTAGAAGAGTATTTGAATCACCGCATCTTCTGCATTGGTTAATCAATAATTGATTAATGGCACAATCCTAATCTCAAGCAAGGCCAATATATATAATGTACATTTTAAGTTTATAAAATTAAAAATAAATTTCTCTTGACTCTTAAAGAAAACAATATTTCAACCCCCATATTCATGAAGTATTAATTATTGTTGATTTCCAATGAGCAACACAGCATCAATTTTTATTAAGAAATATGAATAGTCTTTTTGTGCATCGGTGTTAAATTAAAGTGAGTCAAGTTGATCAGTCTTAATTGTTATTTTATCAAGTTTGTGTAATATATTAACTAAGACACAAGTTGGTATTGTGATCTTTATAACAAATAGATAATTAACAGACTATATTGATCACTTCTGAAAATAAACATTTCTTTAATCTGTATTCAAAATTTATTAAATAGATGTTTAGCTCTAAATATATGAATTCTAATTGGTTAAATTCAATTTACCTCATTATTTACATGAAATTTGTCTCCATAGATAATTACTATATATTTTATAGAATTCTTTTTTTAAAGATAATGTAAGAAACCAATATTTTCTGAGAGAAATTTAAAGAGAAGTTAGTTTCTATTTGCATTAATAAAGCCCATATTTGATATACATTATTTTGAAGGCGGGGGGTAGAATATGTATCCAAAAGATGTTAATAAATTTTTGTTACCATTCTTATGTCTTCTGTTCCATTTAATTTATATACTTTCAGTAAAAATTGAAAAGTTTACAGGTTAAGTATACATTCAGATATAAACATTAAACATAAAAACAAATCCTTAATTTACAAGATCACTTACTTTATTTTCCAATTACTAAGCAAATCCTCACGCATGGCATTGGTGACACACAAATGATCAGAGGCTAAACGCCCAAAAAACTTTTCAAACCTAAAAGAAATGAGAAAGGGAAATTAAAAAAAAAACAATTTAGAATTCAATCCTCCATAGATTATTTTATTGGTGTTTTGTTGTTTACCTATTCCCTGACCGATATACATAAATACTCAATTGTTCTCATGAAATAATTCTATTTTCATCTTTTCTCACATTTGGGATTTGAAATTCATAAGTTGTTCTTATAAACAGTTTTGTTTAATAGAAAAAAAGTATATGACCAAATTAGGATTCTTTACAAACATCAAGAAAACTGTGTGCAACTTGAAAAGAAAAAAAAAGGAACCTCTTAAATTTAGATAAAACCAAACTCAACAGTAGTCATTTTGAAATAATATTTTTTTTTTAAACCATAAAATTTTCTAGAATTACACAGCAAGAAAAATTTAGCATAAATTCATTCAGAAAAGCAACTCTTGTAGTTGATTGTAGAAAGTGAACTTTTAGTTAAAAAGATCAAAAATCATAAAAATGAATATTTTTGACTCAGGTTGCAAGACAATGATCTCAAAACTAAATGGAAGGGTATGCAATCATCACAATCAGGCTTAATATTATTTTCTTTACCTAATTTTTTTTCTAAGCAATAGAGCTATTTAAAAAAAACATTAATTGTTAGAGTATATTGTAATTAAACAGATAAAATTTTGAAAAGAGTGACTTAAAATGATTGTCCTTTACTTAAAAGATAATAATTTTAATATCATACATCAACATAACAGTTTGTGAATATGCAATAAAACAAATCAAACATTTGAAAGAAAAGCAATTGATTACAAAAAAAAAAAAAAAACTGATTTCTATATAGGCAACAAAATAATTTTCTTTATATATTCCCTCTTAAGATGAAGGTAACATTTAAGATATTTAACATTACATCAGTAAGAAACTGTACAGACAAAACACGTCTGATAGTCCAAAACAAAAAAAAAGAAAAAAGATGAATTAATTTTAAATGACTGACCACTTAGAAAATTTGACCAGAGGATGTTGAGGTCCAAGCGTAAGTCCAAGGATTGTGTAACCATAATTATGCCAATCAATGACAACACTTGACCATCGAAAAGCAGCTACTGCCCACACCATGACCAAAGTTGGGATGGAAGGAGGGTTCTGGGAGAAAGAACAAAAATAAAAATTAATGATTATTTAAAAAATAAAACAATTATGAAATAATGATTAACTAAAATTACAATGTTTTAGTCTGTTTACCAACCAAGAAGTTCTTATTCACCTGTACTAAAATATGTGATGACTTTGGAGTGAGGAGAAGATTGACACCAAGTGAGGTGGCTTGCCAGATCACCTTTACTGCATAAGCTAAGAGACGAGGTAACACTGATTGGGGAGAAAAAAAAAAGGACAAAATAAAAACAATTACAATTATGAAAGAACATTTTTGTGTTATTTTTATACAGAATTACAGACAAAAAATTTGCAAGTTTAGAAAAATTAAACAAATAAAAGACAATCAAGTTATTTCTTTGTTAATGTCTGAAAAAAGATCAAGTAAGTAGAGTATTGGTCAGGAGATCATAAGATCCAAATGCAACAATAGAAACCACAAAACTTTAAACCCCAAACCCTTTGGTATCAGTTTAAACCAGTGGTTCCCAAACTTTTTTTTTTCTTGACCACATTTTTGGAATGAAAATTTGGTCATGCCTCAACAAATTTTATATGATAAAAAGTACATTTAAAAAAAAAAAACAAAAACAGAGAGACGTTTAAAGGGAGATAACCGCAGATTAGAAGTTAGAACATTATCATTGATAACTCTCTCCTCTAATTTGCAGAGCCTAGTTAATATATTCTTAATACTTGATATAATACAACAATACCAGAGTGATAAAATCAGTAAATAATTATTTATAACTATTTATATTGGGAGTGATACAGGAAATTACAAGTAATCCATAATAATATTTTAAATTTGGAATTCATACTTATTTTTGTTATTTTTTTTTTTTTTTTTTATTTCTTCCAATTATTCCATCTCATCTGCTATCCTCTTCCACTGCATCCTTTGGGAACGACCAGTTTAAACTGATAACTCCCCCACCTCATATATTGTGGCTTTTAGCTTAAAATTCACATTTTCATAAATGATGACCCAGACATATACCAACAGAAGACATTGATTATATTAAATGTACCTTTCAGAAAAAACAAATACTCTGTAAACATAATAGCTTTTGCAGACAGAGATGAAAGTGTTGAGAAGGAAGGTTGGAAACCTGATATAGTCTGTCTTCCCTTTTACATCAAAGGGTGTGTGTTGGTAAGGATAGTGGTCAGTAGATCTGTAGTTCATACAACATCTGGACAGTATTTGAAAGTGGCTCAGTCTTACAGAGACATCTCTACTGAGTGAAGCCTAACACAGAGGAGAACATGACTAACAACAGTGTGTATTTCTTTCCTTGCAGTTGTGGCAAACAATACAAAGATAAAATCAGTTGACCACTAAAAGTAAATCTGGATGAATATCAAAAAGCCATAATTAAGGGTGAGACAATGAAATCAGAGATGGCTGATTTTGCATGTTGGGGAAAAAGAGTGGCTGTCAACTCTTGTGGAATAATATTTTTCATTCTACAGGGGTTAAAAAAAAGTAAAAATACTAGACAGATGGTCATTGGAGAATCAGAGAATTCTAGGCTACGACAAATCTCAGTAGGCCTAGCATAAAAATAAATACTATACGAGCCATTAATAAAGAAAGAAAAATGATGGTGGATAGAAACAAGCTTGATAGTAAGGCATAAAAGAAAAACATTAGGTTTAAGGCTTCAACTCTTCTAACTTCAGGATGGTTCTACAGGACAATAATCCAGAGGATTCAAGCATTAGTTCTTGAATTTGACTGCATAGTAAATGTGAGTTCAATCCCCAGGTTGGGTAGTATGAACTCACACTTAGTGGAAACAGAATTAGCAATAAATGAGCAGTACTAAATAAGAACAAAATAAAATATCACTAGACGTGGACAGTAGAACAAGAAGAATCTACCTTTATAGATTTAATAAAGTGTTCAGTCTGAAATTCCCTGAAGGTGACCCAGATTTGACAGACACCTGAAGAATGGCGCAAATCAAATTTTGTGGTCATAATAACAAAGATAAGGACACCAATCCAAATGTAAAAATTGGTAACTACTCATTCTTGAAATTCAAACAGAAATTCTGTATCATCAATGAAAATTTGGGAATTTTCCAACATATTTCATTTTCTTAAATTATAGTTTACTAGAATTGTTTTTGCAACATGCCAAACAAGTGTTGAGATCCTCACAGTATTTTGTTGAAATTATCGCTAACATTTTTGTTGAGATTTACAAACTCTACATTTTGTTCACTCAATAAACTTTGAATAAGCTGATTTGTTTGGAAAAATACTTTGACAAAAATCCTACATTGTGGATTTTTAATAATTCCTTTAAATTCATTTTATAGGATTTCATAGTAAACACTAGTTTTAAGAAAATTTCTTTTTTTCCTTTTTAATAGGGAAGAATTAATTATTAAGATGTCTTACACTTGAGCATGCAACATACAACTGAACATGTGTAAATATTTCTTTCTGGTGGGGCCAAATTCCAACTTTTTGAAGCATTTGGCCTTGTTAATTATATTGCCGAAACCACAGCCAGTTAAGTAAAATAAAAATGGCTTAGGAAATGCCTTACAAAGGTCAGTCTCTCTTTGTTGAAAGGTGTGTATGGAGGGGGGGGTCTGACTGACGTTTGTGGTTGGGGTTAAATCATTTGATGTCTGTCCCCAGTGTAGTATTGGGAGAAAGAATGATGACGTGTTGGTTGGTTGTTTTATGGCATATCAAAACCTCAGTGGGTCATTTAATGCCAACAAAATTTTTGAAACAGATTCATAGCAATAGTTTGGAAAAAAAAAAGGTGTGTGTGTATATATATATATATATTTATATATATATATATATATATATATATATATTTGAACCATTTTTCAATTACTCATATTTTTGAGTACACTCCAACTTCTTAAGAATGTATAGCTGATTGTATTACTGGTACTTTCCTTTTTTTCTAAGTATTGCTGACAATAATTCTTCTTTCAAAAATTAATGCTAGTAATAATTTTTTTATTACAAATTATTTCTGATATTAAAACCTATTGTTACACAAGTTTGGTGTTATCTATTTGCCTATAGCTGGGACCCTAACAGGTGCTACCACCCCAGCAATTAAGAGGTGGTTCCATGCTCCTCAAAAGCTCCTGATCAGAGGCCTTGCTGTTGGATGTAATTTATCGTCTTACTCAGGACACGGATGTAGTTTATTGTCATACTCAGGACGGGATAATGTGGTAAACTTATTTTGTATGTTAAATAATAAAACTTTGAATTTTTCCCAAAAATTAATGAAAATTTATTATACTAAGCTATGCACCCTAGTAAAACCAACTGTACTTTGTACCCACTTACCTGTTTGCACCTCTCTCCAAAATTTGGTTTTGAGTGGTCAACATATTGGCTATTTTAGAGGGTATGACAGATGGATTAACAGAAGTCATAGAATTTTATGCATGCATACATAATTATGGACAAATGATGGCATCAGTTTAAACTGATATCAGGAGGGTATGGTTTAAAGTCTTGTGGTGACTTGTTCAGCTTAAATAAGTTATGACCAAAAACAAGAAGAATTCAAAGATTAAAAGCATTTCAAGAGGTTCTACTCATAGGTATTAAAGTCATCTTAACAATGAAAGAATGAGAATATTAAAAGAAGAAAAGAAAACACTTTTAGAAATCAACATATTAGAAACATGAAATGGATCAGAATAAAACTAAATTACTTTATTAGAAACAGCAGTTAGTGCATCTGTATATTTGTAAAATATACAGTCTATAAACAGCATTTTAATTTTTTTAAGCTTTTCACCCCAAGGAAGGCGGGAGTGCCACTAGCATGCAAGTGGTTACAGAAAGTGGGAATAAGAGTAAAGAGGCATGATAGAGGAAAGGATGAAGAGAAGGATGGGGAATTAGATCAAGGCATCTGAAGATGTCGATTGACATTGCATTTGAATAATTGAAGATTATAGCTATCAGGGAAGCAAGTAAGAGGAAGGGAGTTCCACAGACAGGAAGTGTGAGACGTGAAGCTATTGGAGTAGAAGAGATGGCTACATTTAACCGTTTTGACAGTAAAAGAGTGGGACTGAGATGCCAACCTAGTGGCATATTTAAATTCACGCAGTTTGGGAACTAGTGAAAGTAGCTTGTCAGAGCAGTTACCATGAAAGTATTTGTAGAAAAGACAGTGGGAAGCGACGGTATGTCTGTGAGAGTAAACAAGATACCAGATCAGGGCCAATCACATTGCATATCTGTCTCTGGATTTTGTTGAGGACCTTAAGACGAACAGCAGAGGCTCCAGACCATATATGACAGCAATATTCCATGCAAGGGTGAATGGTTGATTTATAGATTTGAAGGATGGACTCAGGCGAGAAAAACTTTCTGGCACGACACAGAGAACCATCTTTCCTTGCGGTAGATGAAGCTATTGATTCAATGTATTTGTTCCATCTCAGGTCAGCGTACAGTGTGAGACCAAGCAGGCACAGAGAGGTGCTCTTGTGGAGTTGAGCATCAGACATTCTAATGAGAGGCGGGGAGGGTTTTCTTTGGTCAGTAAAAGAGAGCAGTTTTGTTTTTGAGGCATTAAAGTTAACCAGCCACTTCCTGCCCCAGTCAACAACAGATTGGAGGTCCTTTTTGAGACCAATGGCCAAGTTAGTTTTGTCAGCGATACTGCATTTACCATTGAGGCAGGAGTAAATAGTAGTATCATCTGGATAGATGCCTACTTGGGAACTGAATACATTCATAACATGTTTATATTTATTTTCTTATTGATTGTGATCAATAGTTCAATTTAGAATTGAGTTGCAATGCAAATGAACACATGTGAGTTTCTTATAGTGATGAAAACTTGGGGAGAATCAGCTACAATTTTCAGATGAACTGATAAAAAAGAAAAGGTGCATTAGGTCTTTAAAAAAACTTTCTTCAGGTTGGAATCCAGAGTTTTTCTTCTAGATTGGCTGTCATCCAAAGCAAGAGATCCCAGTCGAGACTGCTATTTTTAACCCATAGCTGGAGACCAATTCAACATGGAGTGAATGAAACAGAATCAACTGGAATTTGAACTTGGCAATTCCAATTTTTGCACTGATAACCATTACACTACTTGCACACTATTATAAAAAGCCTCATCAGGTAGAAAGAAAATGTATTGTCTTACTTAGAAAATTTAGAATATGTAAAAAATAAAATTTAATCTGTACTTTATATAAATTACATGTAGAATGAAAAGAAAACAAAATACTTACATTTAATACTTGAAGGGACTTCAGGCAAGATGTAAACATTTATCAAGCTATTTTTGTTGAAGTTTTCATGTGGAGTTGTCCCTAGAAATACAGTACCAATTATTAACTAAGAAATGTTAATAATAGTTGCTAACAACATCAAATAATACCACTGTGATTATCTCGGACATTTGCAAATGTTATATTTATAACTACACACAAAGCAAGAGAATTTTATCTGGAACTTTTCTGAGAATCTAATATTTCTTTTAATAAAAATTGTTGAACTATCTTGAAATAGGAACAATACTCTATGAGAGTGCATATTTATTTTTTATTGTTTCTTAATTTAGTTTTACCAAAATAAAGAAAACTATCTTCAATGAAAAATTAAGCAAATGTTTAAAAGCAAATGTTTATATTGGTTTCACAAGTTTTGCTTATCTAGACTTAATTTAAAAATTAAAATCTCCAAAATAAAGTAGCTGTTTGAGGGAAAATGTTAATAAAAGTACTCATAGATTACTTAGGCAAACTTAGTTAAAATACCACTAAGACTATTTCTGACAGGACTTATTTAATACTTTGAAAACCTGTACAAATAATTCATATATTTTTCTTTTACTATATCATAAACTGAGCTTGAAAAATTGAAAAGTTTCCAAATGAAGCAAGAATTTACTTTATTTTACAGTAAGTCCAAACCTTTTATGTAGTAATGAAACAAAATGAATTTTCTTTTTTTTTTTTTTTAATGGGAATAGTCTTAAAAATATTTTTCTCAATTTTATTAAGATAGAAATTAGAACTGATTAAATAAGTTTTAATGAAACCCAATAAATGAATTTCAATAGATTTTCATATTGCATGGCATAATTTTTGTTATTTACTGAAAAACAATTATCAGTCCAACAAAGGGTGTCATACAAAGTTTTGAGAAAAAATTAAGTGAATGCTTTTAAATTGAGACAATCTATATACCATTTGTTAGCCTATTTATTCTTGTATCTGAAAATACATCGTTTGTCATATGATAGGTGACTTTAACTGATATTTTTTATCAGCTAACTTTGATTCACTTTTTTAAATGCAAAATTTTCTAAGGATCCTGTTATAACTGGGTTGAACACAATTGTTTCATAATATGACTTTCTCTAATAATTTGTTACAAATATGTCAGATGTGAAAAATAAATTATTAGATCACTAATTTTGCATATTATCTACAAATTAAATGTGTTTGGAGTTTTATTTATTAGAAATGACAGCATAAATTGATTGTACATAATAACGGGTTCCTCGTTAAGTCCCATTGTACATTACGATTTAATTTACTTATATGTATTATTTATTAACTTATATCCATTCCACTTAGCTGTGTAAATGCGTTTATGACTTATCTTTATATAAGCATCACACAATTATGTATGAAAAGTTGGGGAAAGTAACACAGACAACAACAAAAATATAATCAAATGATAAGTGTTGTATTACTATTTGGTTTTTAGGTCAAGTCATAAAAGGTTGAAGATACTGACTGAGGATGAAAAGTCAATGTTTTCTGTTAAATGAATGAATAGGAATGATGCATAGAAGTGAACAGTGAGAGAATCTTTCAAAGGAAATATTTTGTTTTTGTAACAAATTTTAGTATTCTTCAGTTTTATTTCATTTATTTATCGTTGGCACCAAATGGAAGTTTATGTCCATCCAGTAATTCAAGGAAACTTGTTTTAACTTCAAATTAACATATTTTAGAAAACAAGTACTGATAAATATAAACAATGCGTATTCATTCTTTTATAATAACAAGTGAGGTATGTATATATATATATATATATATATATTTCCAAGAGGATAGAATCCAAGTAGTGTTTGAGCCTTTTATATATATATATATATATATATATATATATATATATATATATATATACACACACACACACATAATATCAATTTGTAATTGGTAGGGATAATTCCAAGGAGGACATTAATCCAATGAGAGGTCAGTGTAAGTTGCAGAGCAATATATATAATAATAAATCAAGAAAACACCTTAAAAATCCATATCAGTTATAATTTATTTCATGAATTATTTATTTCATCTCATCAGATGGAATGTTTTAAGAAATGGAATCAATCCATTCAGACAGATCTACCGAGTTGAAAAAAAAAAGTAGGGAAAAAGGAAAAAATATTAATAATAAAAAGAGGGAGAAAATAAAAAAATAAAACAAATATAATTTTTTTTAAAAAAATTAAGGGAAGAAAGAAAGAGTGTGAAAGGAAAGAATTTTAAATTATATGAATAAGAATATAGTTTTAAGGTATTCTATATTTATGGGTAAAAATATCAGAGATAGAGTCTATGTAAATATAAAAGTGGACACCTGAGGTCAACACCAAGTGGCCACAGTCTGTTTCATGCTTGAATGTAATCTTCAGGTCATATATATATATATATATATATATATATATATATATATATATATATATAGAGAGAGAGAGAATCAATAAATTTGGTTAACACAAACAAATTGTGATACCTTTTCACTATTTTGACTTGACGTATTTAAAATTAAAATAAACTAGAGGAATCCTTATTTTAATCTCTTTGATCTAGTTTCTTTGTTCAGTTAAACATTTTGTAGACCATGGGAAAAAAACCATTAAAAACCTTTGATATCTAAGCTACGTTCCAAATAGAAAGGTAAAAATTAAACCAGAAATAGTTTATTTGCATAGGGTACCAACTTTCAGCTTCATATTTTCTTCTATTCAATTAATCAATTTTCAGGTGCCAAAATCAACAAAAACCATATTTTGTCATATGTTCTTTGAGAATGTTTTAATCTTAGAAATAATGTAAAAATCTGTAAAATAATGTAAAAATATCAACAAAATGAAACATCTGTCACATGATCTTCAGATATGTAAGAATATGTGGTATAAATATAAAAATTTTCTTAAACTGGTTTGCTGATGTCAGGAAAATAGTCAATTTTAAGGAAGTTAAAAAAGAAAAAAAATATCAAACAATTTTTAAACAGTAATACTGACCTTCCTATAACAGGAATTAATATGGTTACTGTAAAACAAATAATCTATTAATGACAGGAAAACTAATTTGGATGTAGTATTTGACAAACTTCGAAAAATGGATAGCATTTTTTTTTTGGCATTTCAACCATTTTCAGGTTCTTAGTAAAATAAAAGGACATAAGAAAACTGTTTATATTTTTGTAAAATAATGTAAAAATAAACTATTGTCACAAGTTTCAAAACTGTACATAAAATAATATTGTTGGAGTTAATAATATCAGAAATTTGTTGAAAGCCTTATTTAGTAAAATGCAAAAAAATTAGTGAAATTTCAATTTTTGAAAAATTAAAAAAAATACAAATCTAATATTTGGAACTCATCAATAAATTTGATCAAGGAACACACGTGAATTTCCCCAGCTTTTTCTGAGAGGGTCACACATGTGAGTGCACGCACACACACACACAAATAATAAATATATGTTTTGTATGACAGTTTCATGCACATGGTAATTGTCAGGCATGGATTGAAAACTGACCATTGTAAAATTTAAATATTAATAACCTACTGTTAAAATAATGGAGCAGTCCATTTACTTATGAAACAAAGAAATTACACACACACACTTATATGAATAAAAAGAGACAAGAGGAAAACCTTCATGGATGAAACGTGTCAGCTAAGAATAGTTTTTCCTCTTGTTTATTTTTATTCATTTTGTTTCTTTACAGATACAGTATCTGAAAATAATTTACACACATTTATATGCACCCAATTACAAACATATGTGTGGATACTCTGTTTCAACTTATATCTTTATAAGATTCATTCATTGTACACTAAAAAAAAAAAACAATTTAAATGAGCATCAAATGTGTTTCTTTCTTAAGCATCATATCATTGGCTGTTCATTATGAAAACATTTCATTATTGATACTGCTAATAGGAGTATAGACATTTTGGGGTGAGGCTTTAAAGAAAGAAATAATCCAATCAATGTCTCAGCAATTCTGTTGCACTTACCTCCATATCCAATGACATCGACATTAAAATTTTCCTTGGCAAATGATAATGCATGATATTGCATCCGTGGACTTCGACCAATGTCACCCAATACTACAATGCAAACACTATTTTTTCCTGGGATAAAAAAGTTCATGAGAAAGTAAAGGAGGACAAATGTAATTGGTGGCACTACAATAATCCACAATAACAATACAGACATGGTCGGTTAACAGGTTGATGGCAGTCAAAGACGACAAAACATGGAGACAACACTATCCCAGGTTATAATCTCTGAAATAAAAAGAACAAATAGAGTTAGTTCAGGTATGATCAATTTATTTATGTACATATCTATTCCATTGTACATGTATTAATCTGATAAAAGGCCATTAAGTATAGAGCAGCAATGAAGATCAAAACTTACTTCAGTAGTAATAATACTAGTATAATTCCTACAAATCCATGACAAGGTACAAAGGAATTACTTCAATGGCCAGCATGTGGAAAATAATGCCATTAGCTTTGATGCACATTTTTAGTTTTAAATTAGAAGTAATATTTATATAAGTATGCTGACAATGTGCCATCCAAACATCAAATAGATTCTTGTATCAATACTATAAAATACTATAAAATTAAGTTTTAAAACTTTGCTGTTATTGCAACAATTATAAATTATTTACATAAATTTCAATCATAACAATTTGTAACTAAAAAAAATCTGCCTAAAGTTTTATGCAAGGTTAATGACATTGTCTGTGAGTACACCAGAATTATTTAAACTTGCATAAAAATATTTTTGTTTAGCTAAAATAATGTATATTAAACTATTAAGTTGTTAGTAAAATAACAATTCACCAAAACAAATTTTGTACAGTACATGTTTACTTAAAGAAAACAAAACAACTTTAGTCCAAAATGTATTGTGAAGTCTGGGGAATAATACTACTTTTGTAAACAATTTCAACTTAAAACATAAAAAGCAAAGTTTCTTAAAATTTAAATTAAAATGGTTAAAAATAAGCATGAATGTTTATTCATTTATATATTTCAATGTTTATGTTTTTATAAAACATAAACGTGGAAATATAGTTTTAGATTAAGAAGAAAAATTATGGTAAAATGGTCATTTGTATGAGGTGTTAAATTACCAAGACACTTACATGAATTATAATTATTTTTTTAACTCATTTTAACACCAGCTTTCACATTAATATATATTTCTTATATTTTCTTAAATCTTATTAAAGAAAAATTTGTGCCCTTCGGCAGGAATCGAACCTGTGTCTCTCAGGGAAGAGAGAGCCACCTTTTAGCCCAGCACACCTTACCACTTGGCCATGAAGGGATAGACAATTTCTCAAATATTTAAGCGAGTAGGTGAAAATAAATATTGTTTAATAAATGAATGGAGCACCTACTCCAATACTAATATCCACTAATAATTACGTTTAAAATGATACAAATACGAACGATGATCTAGTAATCGTAAGAAACTGCAACAACAGAACTATGGAAAAAAATAAAACAAAAAATAATGAACATATGTGAAACAATGCAGTAAACCTAGCAAAAGAATACATCAATAAGAACAGAAAAGCAAACAAAAACCACCGAATATACATTAAAAAAATTCTAACCACCTGCCTAGCATAAATAAACAAATACCCATGTCTATAATTAAAAGAATTTTAACAAATTCTAGTAGCCTAAAAATATTCAATGAAAATGAAAAAAATATGAATCAGCCCTAAGAAACAGCAGATATTCAAACAAACTAGAATACAAAAATGAAAATAATTCAAACAAAAACAACAAAAAAAGAAATGTAATTTGATCCCCCCCACCCAACAATACAATGAAAACAAAAATAGGGAAAATATTCTTCAAAATAATTGACAAACACTTCCCTTATATCAGCAAATTATCAACAAAAATACAATCAAAAATTAGTTACAGCTGCATGGATAACATGGAGAAAATAATAACTAAGTACAATAAAGTAAATAAAAAGAAACAAATATAAACTTAACTCATTAATAAACAAATGAATGAACAAATGTTAAAGTATGCGCATATGTGGACTTGTACAACAAACACACACCAAAAAATGAACAAACCAAGTCCACCAAAATTAATACCTCAAAATGCATAACACCAAAGGCAAAAAACAAATAAACTACTAAGTATTAATTAAAAATAAAACATTAAATAAATGATAACATACACCTGTTTTAATTACATAAACTATTTATCAATTACATATATGTGCATATGCATAGATGTGTAGGAGTGTGTAATAGATGTAAAAAATATTCTAAAATTAAAAAAACTTCATTTACCCACTAGTTTAGTACAAACCAAGTACAGACTTAAGTGTACATGTACCCATACCTATATATATGCACAAATAGATATGTATGTGTGTGTTAAAACAAGTGTATATTACAGATGTATGTATATAACAATAATTTAATTATAAATCTATCCTCCTACAATTAATACTTGATATGACCAAACCCAATTAAAAATGAAATAATAGCCCAGTGAGCATTTCTATATGTGTGTGTGTGTGTGTGTGTGTATATATATATATATATATATATATATATATATATATATATATATATATATATATATATATATATATAATCTGCCAATATATGGGCATGTGGCTGAGTGGTTAGAACGTTCCCTTTCTGACCATGAGACCCGGATTCAGATCTCACCATGGTTGATTTTTCAAGTTTGGCATCTTTTTCATCATGCTATGCTCTTTCTTTAGCGATATCATAGAGGTACCTATGTTAAATAAATAGTTAATAAATTTATTGGTTTTCTTAGTAATTTAAATATCAACATTTTATTCTTTGAAGTTATTTTTCTCTCCTATTTATTATGTTTTCCTTACAAATGAGAGATCTTTACAAATGTCAATAAGAAAGATTTAATACTAGAATTATAAATATAATTGAATAATTCCTGATGTATTAATGAATTCACTCTTATGGAGACTAAAGTTGCATTTTATTGTATTATTAATTTTATTCATCATATGAAAAAATGCCAAATATCAGTGGTCTACAGAAATAATATTGGTATTAATACTAAAAATCAAATTATAGTGTTAGTCTTTAATCGATTATAAAACAGGATTGAACCCTGTAACATCTCATTTGTGATATCACAAATAAAAGCTTAAAACAGACAATTGGAATACTTGTAAAATCTTCAGAACTAAAATAGTAGATAGGTTCACACTCCTCCGCAATCTTTTGAATAGGAGTAGAAGTTTATCTCTGGTTTCCTTTTAAGGATTGGATTTCCGGTTCCTTCTAAAGTCTACTACAACTCTCATCTTCTAACATCTCTACCTGAACTCTGAAATTTTATTCACTAATTAAATCTTGACCTCTTCACGTCTAGAGTTAGCCATTATCTTTCCTGCATAGTCCCCAAGAACTTCACTTCTTGTCCTTTTTTATGCTCATACAATATCACACAGTAACCCTCTACCTTGAGTGGCTCTTGGGCCTTGTATTGGGAGAACATTAGCAAAAAAAAAGAAGCAAAACATGCAAGTATTTTTTCCCCATTTTTACTTTTCAATATTTCTTAATATTAATTTTAAAAAAATCTATATAAAGAATTACTTTCAATATCCTTGTAGTCATTAATAAATCTCCCAAAAATAATCATGAACATTTTTTAAAAATAACTTCAATGGATACAGAACGAACAAAGATGTTTGGACAGGGTTCCCAGCCTCATCAATAATTCCCTGAAAGATTTTGTGACATTGCATGACAGACAGAAAGAAAGATGGAGTTCAGTTAAAAAGATGAATAGTCAAAGAAACATTTTTATTCTAAGTTTGCTAATCCTAGAAAACAAAAATACATCATATAAATAACATTTAGCATGTTTTCAAACAATTTTCAATCTAAAATATATAATCAACATTTGATACATGTCCAGTTGCATACAAATTACCAGATTTCCAGCATTGAAAAACACAATTATTTGGTAATTCTTGCAAAAATCACACGTCAGATTTTAATGAAACTTTCAGGACTTATTCCCAAATAAATTAAATTATTTTAGATATGTTTTTTTTTTTTTTTAGAAAATTTTAATATTTCTTTTTTTAACATCTGTTACCCACTCTTATTTAATTTTATGAAATTTTGATAATTGGAGGATTTAAACTATCAATTTTCTTTTACCCAGATACAAAAAATCTGCTCTGAATCAGAAAATAAAAAATGCAATAAAACTAAGACATTGTTTAATTAGAAAAAGCCTTTAACTGCTTTTATGAATCTATTATGGTCATTATTGTCTTAAATTTTTTTCTGATGAATAATGAATTTTTACAAAAATTGTTTTCATTTTTTTTAAATTATAATAATTTGTAAAGTTTTAAATCTTTTCAAATTCTCTATTAATTTGTAGCAGTGAGGTGATATTGTTATTAGGTAAAAACTATATTTGCTAATCATAAATGGAAAAGCTTACTCAGCAACTCTTGGTATTTAAAAGAGTTTTGAATTTTGTTTGTGTATAAACGTGCCAATTTTTGTAAATATGGGCATCCATACACAATATTATCAGAAAATAAGAGTGGTAACTATAGTAAATTTAAAATTTATTGGTAAATTTCTAAAATTTCCTCAACAATCATCTTTGTATAAAGCCAGATTTTGTCCCTAAAATTCAATAAGATATGGGATTTCTAGAATATTTTCTTAAATTTTTAAGATTATGGGGTAGTTAAAAAATTATATAAAATATAGATGTTCACATTGTATTTGTCATGTAATTTCTAGGGTCAGGTACCCTTTATTTAAATTTGCCAAACATTAAGCTATCGATAAATAAATCTGTCACCTCATAAAACACCACATCCATGGAAAAAACATGCTTTTCTGCAATATTTTAAACTAAAAGTAAGTAATATGTACTTTAACTGAAATTAATTAAACGTTAAATCAGTTAATGTTACTAAAATAAAGTTTCAGAAAAAAGTATATTTTATTTTTGAAAGATAAAGAGAATTACTGTGTTGACAGATTAATTATT